CCAACTAAATATCACTGTGTAACCTCCTGCCTTCAGATTAGCATGATATTGTATCTACTTACACCAACCACCTAAAACCAACCAAACCAAGACCATCAATGGAAGAGGAAAATGAAGTTTGAAGAGATTATGAAACAGCTCTGGAATTCATACAGCTTTTCATGACTATGTCACTCACTGTTATTAGCAAATAAATAGAGGTATATAGCAAGTCTGATTACACAGGCCCGCTAAAAACAGCTCTCACGAGTTACTGACTTGTATTTATTGATAGCATGTTGACATCACTTCTCTGCTTGTATTGCATTTTTATAGCTAATTAAAATGCACCTTCTCCCCAGTCTGCACATACCAAAACATGCCGAGATAGATGTACTTCCAGTGCTTCATAATTACTAGAATTATATATGAACTATAGGATTTACTGGGACTCTAAACTAACCTGTATCCCAGAGGCAGACATAGACTGCAAAATTTAGCTTTGCTCACAGCTGTAGAACATTTGGAGACAAATAGTTGGCTAGTACATTACAGAGATAGGAAAAAGTCATGAAATTCACATGTGTTTCGAGATCCAAATTCCACTGTAATATTGGCATCGGCAAAATTGGACTTGTCATTTGGGACTATCTCTACTGTATGTTTTTCTTCTTCAAAGGAGGGAGAAGTGTATACCCTGTCCTTTTACCCAGTTCTTTGCCCTGGCTCTAACAGCATGGAAGGACTAAAAATCCGTAAGACTTAACCAGTTAGATATTCTTTTGACTTGAAGAAGAAAACAGTTGGCATCAAGCTGTTGAAGCTGGCACCTATGCCACCTGCCTCTGCAACGTTTGGGGCAGTTACTATATCAGGGGTAGAACAGGCCATAGCAGCAGCAGTTTCTACTTGGCTATTATCCACCAGTAATCTCTCCTGCTGGTAAGGAGTCAATCTAAATAGAGAAATCTTTAGAAAAAGGGGTATGCAATCAGGTCCTTTGCAAATTTACTTAATCTGGCATCAGTAAGAAGCAGATCTGAAAATCCAGCTTGAAAACTTCACTACACGTAGGGATCCAAGCTTGAAACCAGCGCAATGGTTTTGCGTAAGGAAAAACTTTTGGAATACGCTAATTGCATCAAATCTGTGGCAGGTTTTGAAAAATCTGATTCACCAAGAACTCCGAACTGTAGCATTTCCTTTGTTTTCCAAATGAAAGCTCTTAATCTGTTTAAGCTTCCATTGCAGACTTTCTTCCATCCACATAAATCCTTCCCATCTGCTCTAGCATCATTCTTTTACTTAATTGACTTATTTTCTCTAGATACTGATGTGACTGAAGTAGTTTGATCTGATTTTCCTTTATTTTTCACCTCATTGTTACATTTATACCCATGTGAAGCTTGTAACAGTGATCGACAACGCAAGTTCCCTTTGCTATTAAAAATCATTATGCCTGCTGTAGTCAGGATGATCAATATTCTAGCAGAAGAACCTGAAACATGTTAGAGGTCCGTCAGAGGAGAAACACTCTATTTCTGCCAGAGTCTTATAAAGCATTCAGAAGAATGAACAATATACTTACTTGTATTTCAGAACTTTGTACTTTTCTTCACTTGGGAATGAGATGGAAAGAAAGTCTAAGAGTAAAATTTTGAAAGTACCTCAGAGTATGTACATACAGTAGCATATGATACAAAGACTTGCTAAACCAACACCTACCTGCACTGACCCAGGTAGGTGGCTACTAGTTTCAGGGTAGACTCAGTTTGCAGGAAATCTGGCTGTCTACAAGGTTTTCTGTTGCATGGTATTGAAATGCTCTCAGAAGTGGAGATATAAGTCTGAATTCTTAAATATTGCATTTAGGAGCCTGAGGGCACGTCTAAAATAGATTTAGAGTTTATTATTAGCATTTCATTTTTACAGATGACATGGAAGAAGAGGGAATAGGTTCCAAGAAAATTCTCTTCTTCTGCAGGCTCAGTGATTGGATTTACAAAGGCAGGCAGATACCTACAGGTGCAGAGAGATGTCTGGGGGGACTTCCAAAAGCACCTCAGTGAGTGACGTGCCTAGTCTCACTGAACTCTCAAACAAGTGAAATTCCAGATCTGTTCAAGTGCTTTTACAACACCAGCAAAGAACTTCTTTGCACTGCTAGACATCTAATTATCCCTGTAAGATACCCCCCAATTAGTTGCAGATGGCCAGCAAAAGAAAAAGGGATGAAATGTGTTGCATTTTAATAAATATATTCTGTTTCTGGGCTAGGTTTTGTTTTTCTGAGTGGATTTTCTGGCTGCAGCTCTGGCTCAGTTACTCTGGCTCAGTACTCTGCTGTCTCAATATGGCACTATACAGCAATAGTAAATAAGGCCTGGTGAGTGGCAGTCTCCATGGAGAGATTATTTACCCAGTGACATGATGTGTGTCTTCCCGTGGTGATGCCACCACGTCATTTCCTTAACTCCTTTGTTACACCAGCTTCCCCTGGGGAGACAGGATGATGCTCTCTGATGTGTTGGCAGTTCATCTTAAAGAGGGAGCTTTTAATGAGGTGGTGCCAGGCAAATGGGGCTGCTGCCTATCATACAAACTATCACTGCAGATATTTTTTCCTGTGAATGTTATGTGTTAGGGAGCACTGAGAAAATTATACTTACTACAAGAAATGAAAAGAGTCTAATTACAGTGATTTTTATAGAGAGAGTTAAAGGATGCATGTCAAAAGGGACTGATATATAATTATGATAATATCAGTTGCAACTCCTGTGCTATCTAATTACTTGAAATGGATGGCATTGTGCAATCTTTATGAAAGCAAGCTACTTTGATAACAAAATGATATAATCTTAATACGAAATAAAAATAAAATTGAAAGGAAAGTAAAATGAATATATTGGTAGGAATAAGAATCAAAGAGGCAGCACTCAGTGTGCTGGAAAGACAGTACAAACAGAAACCCACCAGCCACCTCCAACCCCAAATCTGTGCGACGCATTTGACTCACACTGTGTCAGAAACCGAGATGCTGTGCATGTTGCCTAAACTGGTAGTCAAAATCAAGATATATTGGCATGACAAGAAAAGAGTCATAAGAAGTGGAGGAAGAAAGGAATAAAAAGAGGAAAGATTAATAAAAATGGGAAAGAGCATAAACCTAGCAATCAAAGTGTTAAACTCTTCTGGAGTTTTAAGTGTCTCCATGTGTTGAGTTTGCTCTGGATCCTCTGAGGTACTCCAAATCCCCAGCTGCTGAGTAGGTGCTGGACCTTCTTGGATTCAGGCACTCAGACATCTTTGAGGACCAAGGTCTTTCTGTTTTGGTTTCATGCTGGCTATATTACACTGATAAAACTGTCAGCAATACTTGATATAAATAAAATATTAAAGTTATTACTTTAATTTAACATGCATTTTGTTCATCACAGATGGAATTTAATTACACAGAACCCATACCTACTATAACATAATGCCATCTGTTGACAAATGACCTGGACACTGGAAAAACCTAATTTTTCCATTCATTAGAAATTAAAATCCTAGCATGTTCATGCGCAAGCCCACGGACCTGCTGGTATGTCTACGCTCCTAATTATGATGTAGCCTGGAAAAATCAACCGTTATTTGAACAGTGACACCACAGATTGTAAGTTATTAGTGGCTTCCAGATTTTTGTGGCCATCACAGAGAGACACCAAAACTTTCATGGACTTTCATGGATACTGCATTATCACCAGTCTTGTAACGGAAAATAATACTCAGTAAAAGGCTTAATATTATTCTACTGACTACCTGCAGCTCATTTATCTCATAGACTGCAGTTTGGATCACTTCTTTAAGCTCGCATCATCTCATTTAATAGCAAAGACACAATCTCATTTATAAGCTAAGTTTACGTATCTTTTCTAAAATTTTAAAATAAGAAAAGTAGAGCGGCAATTGGCTAGAATCCCTTGTTTACTGCAAGTTTGGTAAACACGTTTCTCTATGTACTGATTCCAAGGAGTTACTTTTTGTCTTATGCCCATTTAAGCAATCTGTTCCCATACAGAATGAAAGGATCTTAACTGTCCGTGTCTTTTCAAATTCATTATACTAATTCCTCATTTAATCCAATCTTGTCTCTTTTTGGTACGAGAACAAAAACATGAAATACTTTTGTATCATATGAGTGTTTTAATTGCTATGCCTTTTTCTTAAAGAAAATTGAATGTTTGGAACTCTCCCTCTGAGCCGTAACCTCACAACCACTTGCCACATACATTGGGCCCCCTGTAATAGCTGCATACTGTTTATTCAATAGCATTTAATAGAGATTGTGACTTAGTCCTCTGCGCATGACCTTCCAAAGCAGTTCTACTGAAGTTCTTCCCTACCAGGAAAGGTTCCCTCATATCTACCTCCTAGCAGCTTCCTGGCCTCTGCGGCTGCGGTGACTCTGTTTTATGTAGTGTTGCTTGACCAAGTCTGAAGTTCACTGACTTGTCTTTAATATCCAACTAAATTCCACTGAATTAATATTTTAAATCTCTGCTGAAGATTGCCTTTTGCTCCTTTGTGTAGCATGTTGGTGTTGAATGTCAAGGAGACAAAAGGAAATCTAAGTTTTTGAAGGTGATCATGGTTTTCACTGACAAATCTGTCTAATTACAATAAAAAATGTCAGAACTAAATAACTTGAGAAAGAAGAATAAAATGCTGGTTCAACTTTGCAATCATTTTATATGTTATTGTGTTTATTATGATGATTCAATGTATCTAGTTTGCAAGGAATCAGGATTTCCATGCAAGACTGTAAAGGTTTTTTCCATTCAGGAATTTTACTTGATGAGATTAAGGTGTGAAATAATATAAGGCTTATCATGAAACCTGTCATCTTTCAAAAGAAAAAAAAACAAGCAACACCCGCCAACAAGAAATAAGCCAACAAAATATCCACTGACCGCCCTGCTGCCCAGGCTGGCAGAGCAGTCTCAACCACATTTCTGGCATCTACCAGAAGGCTTTCTTACCTTCACTGCAAACTCTGTTTCTGTAGCTTTATGAACACATCTCTTGCACACTGAATAGGAGCCAATTCCTATGTCCTCCTTGATCTCGTATCCGTCTGTAAAGTGAATGTTGTTCCCATGTAACTGCTATAGGGAACGACAAAAGAAACAAGGTAATCAGGACATGGGTATGTAAAAGCAAGGACTAGCAATAAAGGAAGTGCTTGATCTCTTCTCCTTCACAGAGCTCTCTTGTCCTTAGCAGTTTTTCTAAGTCCAGTTAAAAAAATCTGAAGCTCTTTAGTTAAACAAGTGTGTCCCTTCCCTTTTTACTTTTTTCCAGTCTTAAGATGGAGTTGTCCATGTAGAAGTAACAGCAAAAAAGCAGTGATTTTCTATACTATTTATGGAATGCAGACAAGCACCTCCTATTAGAAATTCACAGGAAACTGTGGGCCCAAATCCCCTGACAAACCCACATATCTTGACAATATAAACGTATTTCTAATTACAGATAACTTATAAACTACAATAGCTTCGCAGTCTTCAAAACAGATATCCCACATACGGGGTGTGCCTCCAGACCACTGGAGGTCTTGTCCAGGATATGTTTAATTATGATTTTTGTGTGAGAGAAAAGTTACTATTCTAAGACAACCTAATTTAAGAAAATATATTACTCGTGAAAATAGTAAGAAAATACTTTAAAATTTCTAATTTTATTTATTGAAGGGCATAGAATGAACTATGGCATCATTAGTTCATATGCCTTTTAGAAACTGTCTGGGCAGGTGGATTGGTCAAATGGTGAAACCCAAATCTGAGACCTTGCAAATTCCATCCCAGGACTCAAGAAATGACCAGCAGCTCTAAAAATCCTCTAGGATCCTCTCTTTAAAAATGTAACCTCACTAACAAAGTCCACACAGAACCTTCTAAATTATAAGACACGCATGTGTTAACATTCAATACATTTTTACAAAGCAAACCACAGGAATATATATAAAATTTCTGGGATGTAATTGCTTGGGTAACATTTCACTTACTGTTGCATAAGAGAATCTTTAAGAATATGACATATTCCACTGTAAATTATTAAAATAAGGATGAAAACTATGAAAACCTATGAACACCACAGGCAGGGGCTCTCTCCTTGAGGCATGCATACCTCTGGCTGTGGGTAGGAGAGGAACTTTTTCCTTGTGGGAAAATTTGCTGCATCTTTGAGCTGCCTAGTTCTTTCTTCCAATTCACTGTTCCTCTGATGTATTGAGCCATTTGTAGCAGTCTATTTCTGGTTTAAATTACAATAACTGGAGAGCATGTTGTAGGGGAATAGCAGCAAAGAACCAAGTGTCTAGCAAGTGTCCTTCCCCTGTCAAGCCGCTCTGGGTTATGGGAGTACACCCAGGCTCTTCTGCAATAGCACCAGGAACACGGTGGCCTCTTACACCCTGGAGCTTGTGCTCTCTGTCCGTGGAAGCCTTCAGCAGTAGTTCATTAAGCCCCTTTGCCAACACAGACTGTATCATGTATTCCAAGATAAAACTGTTGAGAATGGCATGCATTCACTGAAAAAACAACACTTGATTACCTGCCCTGTATGCACAACTGGAATAGTGTTTCAGGTATTCAGAAGTACTTTCATTTCAGTTGTGATAAGGTGCAATTCCTACTTCCTTTGTAAAGGCTGTGGAGAACGTGAACTTAAAGATAAAAGCCTTTGGGAAAAAATTCTCATTTTCCACCTCCTACATGCTGCATGTAAACACCTCCTGCCTACACTGGGTAGCTGTGAAATACCAGTGAGAACACTGAGGCAGTTTAAATACACTATGCACATATGTATCTGCCCATCAAGCGTGAAGTGTAACATCAGCATCGGTACCTGCACAATTGGATGGACGGTGATTTTGTGCACATCTTGCTGTGCAGGCTCCTGCACCAAGTTAGAGGCAACGAAGCTGAACCCTCTGAAAAGATGATGAGCGTTGGCACTTGGAGGAACACCTGGGGAGTCTGTAGGAGAAGGAAGAAAATGGCCTCATGAGCTGCACAAAAGATCAGAAAGTAATAGCATAGCACCTGCAACAGAGTCCCCCCTGCCAGTCAACAGCAGGTCCTGCTAAACTGGCAGACATTTGTGAATATAATCCACCTCCATATCAAGGCTTTGGTGTGCCTTCTCCATCCCGTTCTCCTGGTTCTGAACAGTGCAGGGGTATTTTTTGCAAGGATCTCTCCTCTTGGATACAGAGGTTTTTTTCACAGTGCATGTTCATTCTTAGGCACTGCCTGTGCCAGGAGTCTGCACAGAGAGAGAAGGCACAGCACGGCGAGGCTAAGAGAAAGACAGATGGCTCAAGGCAGGGCACTCCTTTGGCTTAGCACAGGTTCTCCAGGGAGTGGAAAAAAGTTGCAAGCTGCTATATCTGTCCTTTGCAGCACACCTTGACTACAGAAATTACAAAGGCTAAAGTGCTTTCTGCATAATGTGGTACGTTGTGTGGGTCAGGAGAATGTAGAAAAGACAGGACCTGAAGCAAGTGTAAAAGTGCGATGCTCCAGTAGTGGTGGTTTGTGGCCTCATAAGGATCTTTCTGGAGCAGCTTTAGGAGCTGTGACTTACTCCAGGAAGATGCTGGTTGACTTGTCCTCAGATGATCAAAATGACTAGGAGTGTTTTAACTAACCTTCATGGACTTTTTCCCCCTACTCCTCCCTCTGACGTGGCAAATCCAGGGGAGGAATGGCTGGAGATCAAAGAGCCCTAAATTATTCTACCTTTGGAATGAAATAACTAGAGAGCAGTTCCTGGTACCTACGCCACTGCTCACTGAGAGAAACAGCCTGCCAAACCGAGAAGAGAAGATTTGCACTTCACTTAAAGTTCTGAAAAGCTTTAAAGAGATCTTCCTCCGTAGTGTATGTTTTGTCCCAGCTATTTTCATATGCAAGAAAGAGTCGCATTGCAAACCATTCCTTGGTAGCTGGGTAGCTGGCTGGGTATTATAAAACCTATAGTACTAAAATTTGCTCACCTTTTATTTGTTTTTTTTTTCTCCTCTCCCCTTCACATTTCCTCCAGTACAATATGTGATTTACCATGGCAAAGTTACAGAGCTAAACTTCCTTTAGAAAGCTATCTCCTTGTAGGAAGTGTGTAAATACCCAGTTTCACTACAGTAAAGAAAATACATCCCCACTGGACCTTATATCTGACTCACCTGCCTACACCGTCAGCACCACCCAGTAGTGTGAAGGGCAATGGCGTGGAAGACTAAGTATTGCTTGAGGTCCTGAAAATATGTGAGAATGTATTTTGTTGTGTGGACGTTCCCTGTATAAATCTACTGGTCAAATGAACAGAGGATCTGAAGCCAGAATATGGTAAAAACAAATTATCTGCTCAGAAATAAACAAAACTGAGACTGCAGCTAATTCTGTATCTCATTACAAAGCCGCCTCAGCTTTGACAGGAGTCAGAAATAAGCACAGCAAGTCAGACCTTACTGCAAAGTACGTGGAGAAGCTTGTCTTTTGGTAAAATGATGTGGGCTATTTGTTTATGTCAGTGTATTGATGGGCATTCTCCTTGCAAATGCATGGATGAATCACACCAGACCTCTTGCATCACTGGGTACTTCTTACAATGGCATATATACAACAGTGATTTTCCAAGAGGGATTAATTAAGAGGAAAGAATGTTTGTTTTAAAAACAGAATGACAGTAATTCAAATCTCAACACTCCTGAACTTCAGAAAAGCTGTTATCCGGCTCTAAAATTTAAGTGTTAGGTCATCTGTATTTAAAAATAACTGTTCGTTCATAATTCAATGCCAATCTCTTTATCAAACACTGTAGAAGAACTACTGATTATTTGGTGTTCGATATTAAATATTCATCACCACCAACTGATATGCCCATCATACGAATTAAATGTTAAAACACCTGTGTTAAGTGCAAAATTATGTTTAAATTATGTTAATTAACTGATAGCTATGAAATCTAAACCATTTTCCTAGTCTTGATAAATCCAGAATCATTTCATGTGTCTGAATTAGACCCACTTGCAAACACCAGTCTTGTATAATGGTTATCTTTCTCCCTGTGAAAGTCATGCTTTGTCCCACTAGAGCACCTAATTTACAGGATTTTCAAAGGCTTCATAAATCTTAACTAATTTACTTCAGTACGCTTCACTGGGGTTAGCAAACAGAGGAGGAAATTTAGATACTTCAGGTGCAATTTTACGTATTTTTTCTCAGCAGTAAAACCAGCCTAAGACATCCCTGCCGGTTACAGCATGCTGCCCCATCACTTACACCGGTACAAACATTTGTGGACTGAAATCTAAGTTGGATCATCAGAATGATCTTGGTTTGATCCTTGTTCAAATCACCATTTATAACCTGGATTGCTTCACTCTCCCACTCCCTGTGAGGAGCTGAGTCAGCACAAACGAGATGAGGGTCCACAGTGGTGGACTTAGGAAACAAGCGGCCAGAAAAAGTGACTTCAACTCAGACGAATCCCTGAAAAAAAGTGATGTGAAACTACACCCATAGAGATGAACTGTCAATGTCAGAAACCACATCTTTGGCGCACTCAGAGCTGAGGTTAGGCACCCACAGAAAGCTGTTTCAACCTCCAGGCTAAAGAAACTGTCTGAGATACAGCAAATCACTGGACTGGCAAGTTACTGGATCCAAAACTTTGACATAAACCTGTTTCCAGGCAGGAGAATTCATTCATAAAGACAGAGTGCAAAACGACTGTATGTATCTGTGCCCCCTCCTTGGTAATATCTTTCTGACAGCTTCATTAAACAATGACTGCATTATCATCATGACACAGGAATCATTACACTGCTTTCTGTCTGGGTACGTTCTCAATAACAGGGTAAGTTTGTATGGGGGGGCCTGTGTCATGACAGAAAAAAACACAAAATAAAAAAGGCTCTTGTTTGATTCCATAAGTTTGTATGGGGGGGCCTATATCATGACAGAAAAAACCACAAAATAAAAAAGGCTCTTGTTTGATTCCACCAGCAATACGAGCCAGTATTAAACGCTCTTGTGATGCTCTCCCCTTCTGGTCGACTGAACCAGTCAACAGTCAGGGGCTGCAAAATATGCTGCCAGTCTGCAAGGGCTTTTCTATCGCTCTGGAAGTGTAAAGGGATTCACACTTCCAGTTACACACTTCCTATTTTGAAACGACAGGGTTTGATTCTCAGGCCACTTTCCATAACAGCACAAAGCAGAATTGAGGCAGGCCATCTCCCCACCCCAGCCACCACCCCAAGACAAACCTCCCAAGTCAGTTGTCTTGCATGAGATATCAAATTGAATTAGGTAACAGTACTAACATGTAGAGCGTAAAATATAATCCTGGGCATCAGCACATGCATGAAGTGCATGTTTTCATGCCAGTACAACCAATGAAGTGTGAACTTCCAAAGCGATCCAAACTCTCAGTGCTTCTTTGAGACTTTCCAGGGCAGCTCCAGTCAGCGCTTCTCTCAAGATCAGACTAACTTGCAGTCTCCAATATTTCAGAGAAATGAATTCCTCTGAAATCTGAATTAAAGCTAAAATCAAGGGTGCGAAATGTCTGGTATCCAAAGATCATTTGTTTCCATGCAGTGGGATAGGTATATCAAAACATGACTAACATACTGGAGACAGGTGGATGTTCCAGCTGGACCCAAATAACCAGAGTGTAGTATTTTTATAGCTTGTGAAAATCGGCACATCCTTGCCAAAAAAACTAGGAACCAAGACTGATAAAAGATTTTTAGTAGATACCACTATTTCATACCCCATGAAAGGAGGTTTAAGCCAGGCTTTGAATAGAGGTTTGGGCTAGTTTTAAGAAAAAGGCTGAAGGTCATAATGAGCCTGAATGAAAACTACAGGAAATCTCAGCTCTGATTCATGTGCTACAATGCAGGCGTTTTCGTAATGAAAGCTCAGATCTTTTACTCTCACTATAACAGTTCTGGGGCAATTTGAGGGTTGAAGCTTGAGACCTTATACTTGGTTATTACAACAATATTATGTGATATTTACAGTGCTTACCATCTTCAAAGTGTTTTACAAATAACAGCTAATTAAATTTTTATATTTTAGAACATATAAATAGGTACTTCTTTACACAGGAATATCACAGGCAGAAATGTAATGTAGCTTATCCATGTCTAGCAAGAGGCAACATTATAACTGGGATTACCACTCTGAGGTTACTATATTCTTGCTTTTAACTATAAGAGTGGAAAGATGGTGTTTTGTGCAACAATCACCTTCATATATATAGTCCACAAAGTGTGATATTCCTGTTAGGAAATAGAAATTATAGGAACAACATTCTCACTGCAAGGATTTTCTAAATATTGTGGACCAAATTTCCTGTTGGCATAACTCCACTGATCTGAGAACTTGATGATTCTTCATTACTGTTAACCATGTATTAACTTCCATGGGATTTCATAATCAAAGAAAACATCTATGGAATATATAATTATACACTAACTTGCAAAGATGCAAAGTTCTTTGAAGCCAAGGGAATTTAAAATGGTTAAATTCAGTAATGTAAGCAATGATAAGAGTAATAAAATAGCAAATCAATAGTTATATTTCCTGTTAAAAATGTCTTCTTCCTGAAGACAAATTAATTTGAAGTTGGAGAAATGCTTATGAGCTTCTTTTCCTGAAAATGCAAAACAGTCTTTGCTTCCTGCTGGATATTGCAAAACCCAGTAAACCCACAGGTGATCAGACTTTTAGACCCCACCAGAATGGGGAGGGGAAGGAAGAATGAATTTACTCACTGAAAAGATGCATTACCCATGTGCCACCTTACTAACCTGTGGGGGTCCGAGATGTGAACTCTGGATCAAAATGAAAGGTGTCTTCTGGCCGTCCCACTGCGGGCTTGAAAGGTGGCTTGATTTCTTTCCTGTATAGTTTCTACAAGGAGAAGAACAAATCACAATCAACAACGATCTGTACACCTTCAGCATCCGCAGATAGGCTCCCCCGCTTTGTTTAGGGTGTCCTCTCTCAGCTCTGTGCCATCCTTGCAGGACTGACAAAAAAGGATGATGTATCTGTAGCTCTGGCTCCTGCTTGACTGGTCGGCTTAAAACCTGTGCCCTGGATGGTCCCTGAACTTTTTAGTTACTGGAATCCAGAATATAAACACAGATGTTTCTGGTAAAAATGTAGCCTGTAGACTGGCACAATATTGCAGCAGAGGCATCTGGAAATTCACTGGTCTTAAGGGCAGGACTGGAACGTGCAATGGTAAATGAGGAAACTGTGCATGGGTGACTTCAGCAGCGCAGCAATGGCAATGAGCACAAAGAACCGCTAGGAAGCAGTGGCTGTTTTAGCATTTATTATTTGTCAAGAACTAGCAATATGTTTGACACTCTGCCAGACTGAGCTGAGCAACAGGCCTGGCTGCCTGGTGCTCACAACCTAAACAAGAGATTTGTTCTTTTGGCATATCTGGCAAAAGGGAAGGGGCTCACAGCTGAGGATTAGATGAAATTCCCATCAAAAGATGCTGGAAAGAAAGCACTGCGGATGGGTGGGGAATCATGTTGAAGGCCTAAACGTGGCTTGAACAGAGCAGCAAAACCAAGGAAAAACATAAGGAAGAGAGGAAGGTATATAATAGGTAAGCACTGCTAGGTGTGTGAGTTTGTGCTGGCGAGTGAGGGAGCATGTAGGGGATCACATAAGTAACAATCACCATAAATGCATGCTAATACACTGCCTTTATTACTAGGGACTTCGTGGCCTCTTTACTCATGCTTAGCGACCTTTAAGAAATTGCTTCACTGTGCTCCTTTGCAAGCATTCATACACACACAGGCGCACACGCTCTGGGGGATGACCAAACTAAGGTGCAGCATGTCTGATTCTGATCCAAAGCCTACAGAGGTTAATGTGGAGAGTCCTACTGATTTCAGCGAACTTTGCATCATCTCTGCTTGAACTGGCCAAAACCAAACATTTTGCTGATAGTGGCATGGGGAACAGAGCTCCAGTTTGACTCCCTGCCCCACGTTTCAGTCCCTAGACTGCATTCCCTTTCTAGCAATGCTTTTGTTCTCAGGTTTCAAAGGGCTGAATTAGTTGCCACAGACAGCACCCAATAATTAACATGTCTGAGCATAAATATAATGTTTCATTCAAACTTTCAAGTCACAATAAGAGCTGGAGAGTTCAATTTTATGTATTTTCAGGTTAGCTCTTAAAACAACTTCATAATGAGCTGATTTTTCAAAATATTTAATGGAGATTAATACACGCTTGTCCAGCTCTTTGCATGCAGGAAGATTCTTTTTAACTGTGGGTTTTGTGGTGAATTAACTTCTGTAATATAAAGCATGTAGTCAAACCTAATATATATATACACATCAACATAATTTGAACTTGATTTTGCATAGATAAATAAAAGTTCTTGAGGCAGGACATTCTGTAGCATAGTATTAGCATTAGCATAAAGCATATGTTTGTGGTTGAATTATGATTCCTTGGAAAAGTGGAATGGTGAGGCTGGAAATGACTCTGCAATAATTAATGGCCATTTCACCATAAAAAGTTCCTGCTTGCGTAAAACTGCTCCGTATCTTCTGAGAGAAAGAGAGATGAATAATTGCTGTGAGCCACAATGGAAAGCCAGTCTTCCAAATAATTAAAAGCCAATTGCAATCTGAAGCAGGAAGTGTCACTCATCAACTGAAAAGTATCAACCCAGTAATTAACATATATCTTTTTCTGTCTGCACAGAACTTTAAAAGAGAACTCAGCACCTACTGAAGGTTTTTCTGTTGCTAGGATTTCACCTTGAGAAAGCTATTTGCTTCCAGCTTCCCTTTATTTGTCTTAATTCACAACTGCAGTCCTTCTACTGCAGAAAGCAATATGGTCACACGCACATGCTTCCTCCTTGAATTAAATGCACCCCTCATCCTGTGAGGTCCAAAAATTGGAACACGTTTTAGAGTCGTACATCATTTGGGAACTGCACTCTCTTTTGATTATCGTAACCATATTCTCCCCGGCCTCTTAATTCCTCCCCCCATCTGTAGTTTCTTAAGTGCTGTTGGAGCTGCATTTGTATTTCGAATCCCTAACCCACATCCTCCACTACTAGGGAGGGATTTAAGATTCATCATGAGTCACAGGCCACCTAAAGATGTGTAATCACAAATCTGCTTGCTGGGAGGGGATGGAAACAAAGAAGTTGCTTGTGCGAGTGAAAAGCACCTCCTCTGAGCGCAACCCGGATGACTCCCTTTTCCATTTCCTTTTCCACTTGTGATAAAAAGTATTTCTGGTGTTTCTGACTAGACAACTAGGAACAGCAAAAGGTAAACTGCCTGAACCATTTTTTTTCCCAAGCTCTTGAATCTGGTATCTAAATGAAATCTTTGAGGAACAAGAACAAGCAGAGCATCTGTGGGCTTTCCCACCCCACACTGGCTCCAGTTCTCCGAGTGAGCCACTACAACCAAAGCCAATTCACTGAAGCAAACTAAACCACAGGGCAGCCCAACACAGTTGAACATGAAGGCTTGCTGCAAGCAGAATGCTTCTTCCTTTAAAAACCCGCATCCTGTAGACTGCAAAACACAACGTGACACAAGCTGATCTAAGAAAACAGTAAGGGTCACAGCCGTTGTTTTCTATACACAGAGGACAAATCTCTTGGAGGATTTGAGATCCTTCTGGATTTTCCAAGAATACTTCTAATTTTAGGTGAAATGTATTAACCTATTATCTCTTACCATGGTCCCAAAATTATTTGGGGCTGATGGATCACGTTGATCTCTTCCAACAGAAATCAACCAGAGTAGCAAATGACATAGCAAGTTAAGTTTCAAATTTTGTCTTTGACCATTTCTATCAGGATGTCACATAACTTCTGGTCAAGTTTAAACAGTTATCTACATCCCAAGTCATGGTAATCCTGGCTCTGTACAGAGAAGTCACTGGGACTTCCACCACCTATTTTAATGGGAACAGGGTCCCAGTTGTCTCAGTTTAAATCCCAGTTTTCATATCCAAATTATTATTTTGGGGCATCTTATTAGGCATTCAAAAGAGACTTTGGATATGTTAGTGCTAACTGGAGCATTTAAATTTCAGGTTGGGTGCTTAAGATCATTATATGTGTGTTATTTTGCATGGGTATAAGAAGCTGAAGATTTTTTTTTTTCTTCCATATTGCTTCCACATCCGTAAAGGAGAAATGTATTCCTTAGCCCTTAATGTTTTATTGAGAATGTAATTTCTCTCTCCTTCCCAGTAAAGAATAACCCCCCACATCCCACGCCCATTTTTTTTAAACTGGCCACAGCATTGACTTATCACAGAAAAATGTGACTGACAGGTATCAGGAATCACTGTGCATCATGCACGGCTGTTGGATCCGGAGGCTGTGTGGAAGGAGTGCGTAATCCACAGAATGAGGGCGATGAACTCCAAGGTGTGAAAGTACTGATTTAGATATTCACACCTGGATACATATCCCGGCTTCTGTCTACTTATCAACCGCTCGCATCCTTCTGAGACTTTGATAATCGGTACCTTCAGTTTAATAAGTACCTATGAATTAACTAGAGCACAGTTCTATAGCAGTTTGAGGAACTATGAGATTCTATCAACTTTCTTTCTGACTTGGGACAAAAACCTCTTTTTTGAAATAACTAATTCTCCCTCAGGTCCCAATGACCTTTTCTTAATGTATGTTGCCAGATCCCTGATATCGCTTCATTTGAACAACAACTCAGCTGGGCCTCAAGTAATACACCAGGGAGACTAGTAATAAAATGCTGCATCATGTGTCCGTCTCTTGTTATTTATAAGCAGTTAATTTTCATCGTCTTTAAAAAAATGCACTCCTAAAAAAAGCCAGAGATGTAAATGCCCTGTACATGTGTCTGGCAAATATCAAGTTAAAGAAAATGGTTTAATTTAATGAAAAAATATTTAGTCATTTCCTCAACTGAGTTTCTTTGATGAAGAATTGAATTATTCCTTAGACACCTTCTAGAAATAGAAAGACACTACCCTCCACAGTGACGCACTTGTAGTGTGAGAATAAACTCCCTTGATACATACACCTGTCATGGAAAATCCAATAAACAGACAAAAGGATGAACTACCTTCTAAAATGTTTGTCCGCTCCTAGAGTAATGGCTCAACGTTATTGCCTGCAAATTATAGAAAAGCGAGCAGAATTCAGACCTTGGGATCAATTTTTGCTGTTGTTAAAATCTCCAATTAAATAATTCACATTTTTCTGTTTAGTTTGATCTCTGATTAATGTTGAAGGAAATAGAACTTGAGTCCACTTTCTTCCCGCTCCTTCCCTCAGCTGTATTTGACAGTTCATTTTCTAGCATGTCATTTGCTCTAGTTCCAATTTAGCCTGTCATCTAAACAAAAACTACTGTTTATAGCCCACTCCTCCAACTGCAGTCTGCAAAAAGAGATTTCACTTTTTATTTTCAATGAAAAGCCAGAAATTCTTTATGCATGACCTGGAAAGAAGAAACAGTAATAATAAAATCAGGAACCAGTCTCTGCTTTCTCAGAGCCGATGACTGAAATTATCTGAGGTCAACTTGGCTCGGGTCTGCTTGTCTTAGGGAGAAAAGGGGGTGCAATGGTAGTAAGCAGGTAAAACTCAGAAGGAGCTTGACATCTAATCTCCTTCCTGTGAATCCCAGCCTTGATCATGAAAGACAGTCCATATCATTTAACAAAGGATCTATTGAATTTGCGCCACAGTGCCTACTAAATGCCTTAGAGCAGTAAGACTGATATTTGCAGAAACCATCTATTTTTCACCCTGGGAAGTGGGAATTTAGGGTTTTGTTACTGGGTGACAATAGCTGTAAAAATGAGATTTTTACAGAGATTAGGCTCATGCCACAATTTAAGTTTGGGCATAAAAACTCTGTGTCAGATTGTCCGCAGTTCATTTAGTGCTACTTACACACCAAAAATTAAACTTAGGTGTCTGGAGATTTGTACTGAAGAACGGCACCCTGCAACATGGGGATGATGTAAAGGACGGGAGGAGGATGGTTGGTCTCTGGCCACACTCAGGTTTTCCAGGATTGCACCTACTGCAGTGGCCATACGCTATCAGCACTGCTGTGCTTGGCACGAGCATCTGCAGCATCGTAACAGGGGGCTTTTTTACGCTGCGTATGTTGTTTCCACTGTGTTTGCTGCCTTCATCCGAACCAGACACTGTCTGGTTGTGTCTGTTTGAAGACAGATGGAAAACAAGTGGGAAATGACTGCTCCATCAGGTAAACACTTCAGTGACAGAGACAATAACCAAGCCCCAATCCAAACCCCAAGGGAACAGCTCTGACAGTACTTTGACATGGAGATCCAATTTCTACATTTCTGTCTGCGATTCTAATGACTTCATCACTGCAGTATCTCGACTTGACACACAACTTGGAAGGAAGCAGCTAACTCTCATTTCTGCTTTGAATCTCTTAAACTGAGATGAAGAAATTTGGCAGTTTGTTCTTGGTTATCACATCACTCTTGTAGGAAAAATTTTGCTTAAAAAAAGATCTGTTTCGCACTGGGTTTCTAAACACTAACCCATTCTGACCCTTCGTGATAAGGGGCTCTTGATGGAGGATCATTTTCCTACAGTCGCTGAAAGTTTCTATGCCGTCAGTTGCAGTGGTCCTATCTATCATAGCTGCCAAGGTAGTTCAGAAGCTCTCCAAGAGAGCTTGCCTCTTGCTCTCTGAAGTCTTTATATTACCATATATAAAATAAATCAACATCCATGTCCTGCCTCTACAATATTGTTTGCTGACTGCCTGCAAATTGATGTGAGAGATTCTGTATACGTGATGGAAGAACAAAATGAGAGCATCACGGACTCTTCTTCCTGCAACAATACAGAGATCAGCACTAAACATCTGTGCCTGATTCATTTCTGTTCTCTGCCCCTGCTCTGTTTCTGTCCATGGAGAACATGTTAACAGTTGGTTGGATGATCATCGTAAGGCAAAGTCCTGGCTTCAGTTCAGGGCCAGGCTGGCTCACGCCATTCTGAAATGCATACAATACTGCTGCTGTAACTAGATAAGGCTCCCAAGATCTCCATGAGTGATAGTAAAATTAGGATTAAATGAGAAAATGTATTACAAAGATGATAGCTGATCTGTGTAATAATGATTCATTTGTCTCCAAGAGCGTACAATAAGCACTAATTATGTTTGATTAAAATGGGTCTTTACAGCTACATTTTACAGCAAAGTTAGAGGGCTAGATAAGACATCAAAGGGCAATTAAATCCACCTTCCTTTCTATCTCCAAGTCATGTTCAAGCATACCTGGCCTCTTCATGGTAGATATTTCCCTAACCCGTCCATAAGAACTTTTTCAAATGATGGAGGACTGTACAATTTTCCTAGGACAGGCATGAAATTGTTCCCTGAAGAACTGAGCTTGAAACAATCACCAATCATCATAAGAGAAGGTGGTCTTGAGGAGTCTCACAGTCCAGAACTGACTTTGCTGAAAACCCTTCCAAGATGTAGAGCCTCATTTCTCTGTGATGAGTTACTGAGCTGCTCCACTAGCAAACACAGAAGAAGGAGAAACCCTCTCACTGCTCTAGTGTTCCTCATTACGTTAAAACGTATGTACCTGACCTGTATTTTGATTGCAAAGATGAGGACTATGGAGATATCACAGGAATACAGAAAATAAAAATAATGAAGAACCTGACTCTACTCTTCTCAATTTTTTATTTTCACTTAATGTTTTCATAAATGTAAAGTCTTTATATAGAATCTCATGATTAGTAAGAAGCAGATGAGGAAAGAGAATCTAGACATATGTAATATGTAATAGAATCCAGAACATATGTAATAGGACTAAAAGTCCTATTGGAACATAATGGAAAATCTCAAACTCCACTTTCACTGATCATCTCTTAACATGCTTATGGGTCATGCCAACTCTTCAATATGCAATTCAAATTAGATTCACAAGTTTTTCCAAAATAATTGATTCTGTGGGCCTTTCAAAGACCACCTGGGCACCACAAAATGTGCTTTCACAGAGGAATTAGTTTTACTGTAAAGCCCTGGGCAGTTGTTTGAGAATGGCTCACATTCATGCTGTTTTACCAGAATTTATAGTGAGAACTGCAGCAATGTGACTTGTTACACTAGCATTCATGAATGAATTCAGATATTAAATTCAAATATTAAAGAGACATAACAATACCATAACACAGGTCAGATAAAATTAAACTAGAAAATTCTAGAGGATGTGGCAAACAAGAGCTCTGATGCACTGGCAGATGTCCAGATCAAGAATGAAAAGTGTTTGCCTCCAGGTTTGTCTAAAAATAAGTCGATTTGAACAAATATGATGCTGAAAATGCGAGAAGGTTTAACCTGTTGCAAGTCTAAATTGAATACTTAGCTAATCTCTACTGCCAGCTTTATGAGCTGTAGCTGATCAAATAAAGTAAATCCTTGTTTACCATTCTGTGAATCATGTCCGATGTTTTATTTGAACCCTGTTACATTTGATCAAATGTTTGCTGTTCCAATTTTGAGTGCTGATTTTAAATTAATGACTCACCTCAAGAAAACATCAACCACTTGTAAGAGAAGCTGCAGTTTCCTGTTCTGGCTGGTTGACTTGTATACTCAAGGGTGTAAAATCACTCTTCTGAAAATCCATCTATGCCGTGCTTTTCTGTAGCCCCCATTGCAATATAGTGGAAGGGCCAGATCCTGTCCTATGGTCACTGAGGCCAACAGTGACAAGAAGGGGTCAACAAAACTATCCTGTTGGAAGATTTATGATTCCCCCACCATAAAGTAGCACAACCCGCTGTACAGCCTGCTGTACCAGCTCTACCAACACCCAGCCAGTCCCAGTAGCACCACGTGGTGTTTGGGAAAAGGGTGCGCCTGGAGTCTGGGAGCTCCTTGGAGCTACTGTCGGCAGATATGTGTAAGAGCAGACCCGGGGCTGCTCCAAATAATTCCAAGAGAGAAAAGGATTCCTGGAGGTTCCTGATATCAGAAAGAATAAAACTAGCATTTAGTCCAGCTTGCCCAACCCAGTGAGAGGGGACAAGTATTTAAATACGTAACATAAAAGCAGAAAGATGGAGGGACCTAGAGCATCAGATCGCTCCCCTCTGGAGCATCTCTTTCAAGCCTGGTCCTTCGGCTCTGGTTTCCTTTGCGATTGAAATATTACAGGAATTCTTTCATTTAAAGCTGCTCATTTTCACTCCAGTCCAGCTCCCACAATCAATGCATCATGTTTATTAGAGCTGAATGCGGAAATTATTCTGCAGAACACTACAAATAGCCAGACCATCAGGCAAAACAGAGACAAACAGAAAAAACTTGCAGTGCTGAAAGCATCTTTCTATTTCTTTCATTTGTGGGTATGTGAACAAATGTATGTATGTATGCAAGAGACATAGACACTCACTTAAAACACTCTATGGGTTCTCTATATTAGAGTTCACTTCATCTTTTTTCTAAGCATGGCAGTTTGTCTTCAAAAATCTATCTAAGAAAAATAATTTAAAAAAATAAATAAAATGCTGCTCCACTTACATTCCAGTCTATAGTAACAAAGAAAGGGTGACGTTTAATTTCTTCCACTCCATCGAATCCAGCACCTGACAAGAGAATGAAAGAATGAGAATAAAATCATGCTTAGAAGAATGCTGCATGACATCTCTTCTCCAGCCTTCCTCCCCGTCCCCTCTTTTCTACTGACAAAGCTGAAGTCCCCATCTAAACATTTCTTCTAGTCAAGAAACCCTGAACAGTGCAACTGCCATATCAGTATAAACAACCATAAATACAGACAATGGCACTTCATTAATGAACATCGGATGGCTGAGGGCTTTTTACTTTTCTCTAATTGAGGCTGGTGCTCTCTTCAGGCTTCAGATGAGACGTGGGATTTCAGCCGCAGCAGAGCGCACACACCAGCGAGGCCAGGAGAGGCCCCAAGATGTCCTAATACTACGGCAAGGCTCCTGCCGCTCCCCGCCGCCAGCAGCAGCTCTTCTATCTGCACCGACTCTCAAATCCTGTCTAATTACCCATTTTCCACAGATGGGGAAAGCTGCACTACAAATAAGTTCAGGCTCAAAACACCAAAAGGCTCCAAATGATTTGAAGTAAGCTGGGGTTTTAGGTTCCCCCTTTTCAAACACCGCCTTCAAATTTGTGAGTACTAAAATCATCACTCTCTGTGGTATGCTTCCTTCACTGACAATATTGTTAAATTTTTTGTTACATTACTCCAAAGGAAATTTAGGGAAACTCTTCTGAGATCTGGTAACGAATCTAATTCATTCATTACTTTTGCCTTTTGTCTTCACTGAAGATTGCCTTTTTTATTGCTTTAGTTGAATTTATTTGCTTCAGTGCCATTGCAAAAACCAACAGGTGCTCAGTAACAATTAAACAACTGTCAGAGATGATTTAGCATGCCATTTTTGGGGTTGATTTGTCTTCATTAATATCACCTTTCATTTTCCAGTAGGAGAAACAACATCTGGAAGCAAAGGCTTTGCATTGCAATTTTGGAATCTGTTTCTGAAAGGTACCCAGCACTTCTTTACAAGGATGCTGAGCATCCCTTATTCCCAAAAGGACTTGGGATTCATAAGCACCTTGCAAAAGGCATTCAGCACCTCAGAGGACTCAGCTTTTTATATGCATTATTTGTACTTTCTGAAGATCAACATTACAAGCAGCTTTAGAAAGGTCTTGTCAACTCAAGCTTTTGTAAAATGTGACATCTGCTCTCCCTGTGTACAAGACATTACCGATGTTTGCCAAAATGCACTGATCAGGAACGGCTTCCTACAGCCTGCTTAACATTCGCTGCTGAATGGATACAAAAAGCAAACACTCTGTGAACATAACATGCAGGATTGTCTGTCAGGCCTGCTGGATAATAACGCAAGAGGAATGTTCTTCTGATTACTTCCCCATCCCAGTAATCTTACAGTATAGACAAATGTAAGTGACACACATGAGGATAAACAATCCTAGCCCGCCATACAAAACTATGTGCTCGGAGGTGACCATCCCCCCTCAGGAGTGAGGTTTTTGGGTTGTGATGGACAGTCCTAGGGAAACACACATGAAATCAAATCTTAGAAAGAGAAAAAAGGACAAAAGGAACAAAAGGGGAACATCATCACATTGTCACTGTATAAGTCTGTTGTACACCTACAGCCTGAGTATGGAATGTAGTTGACACCCTCATCTATAAAAGGGTATATTTATTAAAGGTAGGAAAAATCAAAGAAGGGCAACAAGGAATGGTATAGAATGACTGACTTTTCAACCTGGAAACAGACGACTGAGGGGGGATATGATAGAGATCTAAAAAGTCATGATTCCTTGGAACAAGGGGATAGGGATTAACTCTTCCACATCTTTTCCAGTACAAGAATGTAAGTCATTAAACGATGCTAGCAGGAATCAGGTTCAGAACAATTTGGAGATGTTTCCTCAGGCAAAAGATAGTTGTGTAACAGGGAATTCCTTGGAAAAGATGATGTGGATGCAAAATATTTATATGGGTTCAGTGGGAGACCAGAAAAGCATGTTGAAATGAAATCTGTTGAAGATTACTTCATCGACAAACCACAAGAGGTTCAGGAAACCCCTTGCTTGAGCTTAACGCAGGTGTAGACTGGGAGAGAATTTGGGTGAAGTACCACATATGCTTACCCTATTTTTACTCTTCCCTAGGCAGTTGTCTATGGCCCCTGGGTACTGAACAAGAAAATACTAAGACTTAGATAGTGATAGTGACAAAAGACTACGTCTTCTTCAGCATGTTTTTTCAATGCACAGTCTAAAGTCTGCACTAGATACCCTTGGCAGATTCATTCCGATTTTAGCAATGCCAACAGAAACATGAAACCAACAGTTACTCTGAAGAGAATTACATTAAGCAACTCTTTAGAGAAGAAATGTCTGTGAGAAATGTCTTGTGTTCAGTGGTGGTGGCTGGAAGCTTTGTAATGTGCAGTAGTTGCTCTTTACTACGTAAGGATGAAACCCAAGTGCCAAACTGATTTTGAAGGACTGGGATAAATGCTACAGACATTGTAAGCTACTGGTAGCCTTCTCTATAGTGAGGATAACTGCTGATGCATTCCATCTTCTCTGCTCTGTCCCTTCCCTACTGTTCCCTTTTTCCTGCTTTTGTAGGCTTACAGATACCTCGTTGTGTGATGGGAATGACCCGCCTTTTTCAGAACATCCATTTGAAAGCCACACTTTTTGCTACTATTGGTGTTCTTTTTTCAAAAAAACCCCACAGAAATCAGAACCAAGGAAAAAGCCCACCCATAGCTACTTCTATCACTGGAGGACTGCAGTGTGCAGTAAGGAATGCAGCATGCAGTTGACACAGGCATTTGTTTGAAAAATCGGCATTTGCCACTTGGGGCCACCTCAGAGCTCTGGCACGGAGAGAATACGTTGTTAGGAGTGCCAGGGCGTGACTCCATCTCTGGTCAGCTTAATGTATTAAAGAGATTTAGGACAGTAATAGCCTAATGTTGCAAAGAGTGAAGGACTTCCAATTCCCTGATTTTACACCATGGAGAAGGTTCAGCGCTTCCTGCAGTTTTTATTCCCTGATCTTCCCTGCCATGAGACCTGCTGGTGTAGCCCATGGCTCCCTCTCGGGCCGTGTGCTGTGGCCGCAGGCATGTGGCCTGGTCCTCTCCTCAACTGGGGACAGCTCTGGGAGCCCAGAGGGGCAACCCTGACCCCGCTGCGGAAGCCCATGGGAGAGGTTAGGCACCGGTGCTTATGGTGGAATCTCTCTGGATTTGCTCAGCACGTTTCAGCCATTCACCTTCCATCTGCAAATCTACAATGGTACTGGAAAGAGATGTGCTTTCATGGAGAAAAGAGAAACACAGGAGTAACTGGAAAGTCCTGTTTCATGGGCATGGACGTTTCTTGGCATAGAGATGGGTATTTAGCAGACTGCTGAAGTGCAACACAGGATGGCACACCACATGACCGCAAACCTTTCACCTTCTTCTAGGTTTCTGGTTGTTTTTTTAACTTCGCTTTAACTTCAATTTAGTAATCAAATCTATCTGTAAAGAATAATCAGCACAATCAAACCTACTGCCTGCAAATATTCCTACATGCCATCTAGTCCCACGAGGGTCCGAGAAGACAAATAATGCTTTCAGATCAAATTGCCAGTTTAAACACATTATAGAGTGCAAGGATTTATATAAAAGCAGCCTCATGTTAATAAGTGAGAACTTGATTATCTAAGATTGTTTTATGCCTGTAATAAAAGTGTCTGCAAGCAATAACAGTAGCATGTTTTATTTGTAATTGGTTTTGATTGTGGAATCATTATAGACAGTGTGAGCCTTGAAACATATTAAGGGGAAAAGGGAGACCTATGAAATTTGAAAATTGGTTATTTGGATATTCAAAATGTTTCCAGATTTTTAGTTTCAGATAATAAAATTTTAGTGTCTCCACAGCTTCAGAATCTTTTTAGTGGGCTAGATTTTTTGAAATGCGTTCCTAACGTTTACAAGGAAGAGGTACAGTCACTCCGACAAAGGTGAAACTTGTTTTTTAAACTCATCGTCTTATAAAATTGAAAACCAAAGCTTTCTATGTGCCAAAGCAGAATGTATCTTCTCTGAAAACATGGGATTAAGGAAATAATAACTCTTTCTTTGGCTTTTACTCCGAATCTACTGGTGCATGCTTTTACTCTATACTTTGTTGGCCAAGCTTCTCAATTATAAGGACTCTGGAAACTTTATACTGCTCAGCAGTGTAGGGAGTTCCTGAAATGCTCTTTACATTCATTTACCTCTCTGAGTAAATCCAGACCTTAGGGCAAGTAAGAATTAGTCCCTTGCCTAAGTTCCTGGCAATGTAATGAACTAACACCTTCATTGTACAATTTGCTTTCCGAGGTGCTATGGTGGTGCAGACAGAAGCTTACTCCTTGTTTGCCTGGATATTCCAGTTAGTTTCTTTTAAGAATTTAAAATTATGCTTGTCCATAATCTGAAATTTGTTGTACTTAATCAGAGCAATAGTACCAAAGCAGTGCTATGCAGACTATTTGTACAGCAGAGCGTATAGGCTCAGAAAAGAACAGACAGCGCCCATAACAAGGGATGCCAAAGGAAGGAAGACTTTCCATTCCTTAAAAATTTGTTCTACAGCATTAATACGGGCACCAGACTTAAAAATAGAATCAGGTAAACTGGATTACTAAATTCCTTCTCTGCCTTGTCTGAGTACCTCCCTTCAACTCTAATATTTTTTTTCCATTAATGATCCAAAGCTTCAAAACAAAGTTTCAAAGGAAAATTTTAGAATATAGCATCAATCTTTACTTCTATTTGTTAAGGTATCAAAATCAAATGGCAAAAAGCAAGATGGTAATCAGAATAAAATTATTTTTGAAGCTCAGCATCTTTCATCTTGCCAACGTTAAAAACACTTTGGAACTAAATACAAATGCTTTCCAAATTTGCAAACTTCTGGAACAATGGCTGAAAACAAGTGTTTGATCCATAATATGGTTCATTTATTTTAGCACGCTTCATTAATTTTCCAAAGATTTTTTCAAAACAGGATGTCTAAGCCTACTTTTAACTTCAGGCTGTTATTCCTTTCCCAGAAAAAGCTAAAATCCACAAAGTTGAAGCAGTCCTTTTATCTACTGACTTCTGTTCAGTATTTAGGCCAACCATTTAAGTATTCCTTCTTTCATTACCAACAAGTCTGTTTTCATCGTCCTTTGTGCTGATTCTCAATCAGTTAAAACAGAGAGAGCCTTCAGAAGCTTTCCACCGCTATCGCTGAAATGTTAAGATCTATTTTTCTCTTACTCTTTTAGATTTTATTTCCTTGGATGTTTGTGCTATAAATAATATCTTCCCTTCTCCCAGCCTTCCCAGTATTTCAATAAACCTCAGGTTTAAAACCTTGGCCCTTAGCAATTCGCCATTATTAAAAGGGAGACGATATGGGGGCTAGAACTATCATGGCTAACTAAGCAACTTTGCTTATTTTAGTGAGTAGCTTTTGATTTAAGGATCAGTATCCAGAAACTCCCACTGACTTCACTGGAGCCCCATTTTGGATGGATAGCAGCTTGTGGGAAGCCACAAAACGAGCAGAGCAGAACAAAACCAAGAGATGGAGACAGGGAGGAAACAGCAGAAAGGAACAGAGGGGTGGAGTGGGGAAAAGTTTGTATTTGCTGCAGCATCTTATTTTTCTGAACGCAGATCAAACCTAGAAATCCCAAGACTCTAATTTTCTCTAATGTCAAGCAAATTGCTTGAGAGCAATTGAAACTTGCTGAGAAAATGTGTTTTTGCACTATCATCTCTACAGCATATCAGACTACAAGAGCTACCATTTAGGTCAAGAGCTAAAATCTATGGGAGGGCATTCCCTCCGGGGGCCGTGCGGGTGTCCCCCCTGGGAGGACCACAGCAGCGTGCTGAGGGACTGGTTCCCCATTCACGCCCAGCCCTGCGGGAGGGCGGGTTGTCCCCTGGTCCCTGTGTGGAACAAGGGCTCTCGGCTCCTGCTCTCCCCAGCGGTCGCAGCGAGAGGCAGCCTGCTCCATACTGTCCTTGTCCGCAGGAGCCAGGCTTTCTCGGAAAACAGCTGAGCCACCACGTCTGACCTCTGCATGAGGTGGGGGCTCCGGCTGAGTTGCTGCAGCCAGGCAGAACACATCCATTCACCTGAAACGTGAGTCTGATGGTGCTCAGTATAAAACAGAGGGCTGGAGCAGTCCACACACCGCCCAACCTGAAGCAAGGGACAGAGCTACCAGAGCAGGTCAAGCAGAAGCTCAAAGGCACAGAGCAGAGCAACCACCTTCCACACATGTGTGTGGACACCCACGCGTGCCTATTAGAAAGTGCAGGAGCCATCGATCAGGCAGATGATGATGGAAGTGGGCTGTCAAGCATTTCGCGCTCTGCCACCCGTCTGGCCGCTAACGCTGTGACTGCTACACAGAGGACCAAGAGCACTGTGCAGCAGACCTTCAGCAGCACCACCTCCAGCATTTGAGAAGTGAGTGTGGGTACTGCAAGAAAGAATGAGAGGAACCTCTCATGCACCTCTTGCTTTTTCAACTTCTCAGAACAAGACATTTAGTAAACTACTTTTTTGCTTCTAACTTTATGTCTCCAATGTGAAATAATCTTACAACCGTAAACGGTTGTAAGAGAGAACAGCAAATTGCTTCTCACAAGTCTCAATATTTAACCAGTCTATGCCATTCTCTAAAAGACAAGCCATTTATTAGCTGCCAAAACTCCCATGGATGGCAATGAGAGTCAACCACAAATTTAAATATGACCCATCAGCTCTCTTCTTGTGATACAGTTTACAGAACTGAAGGATTAAATTCCTGCTCCTAAGGTCAATTCCTGCTCCAAAGGTTACAAAAACCCGACCCAACAGAGGTACAAAGGAAAGGTTTGTAGCTTTCCTTTAGAAGCAAATTATTTCCCTATGAGAGCTGTGGGGAAAAAAGAAACCTCCAAAATTTTTCACAGAACTAGATATGATTTTAAAATGAAAAACAATATAGTGCTATTATCTTCATATCATTCACTTGATATGACTGTTCTTATTTTTCCACAGAAAAACCGAAGACCAAATTTGCAATGAAAATTGTGCACCAGGCATTGCCCATGACCTCACCAAATGCAATGAATTTCTTCATAAAACTCCCAAACAAAGGTACAGATGGCATAAGATACATGGTCCAATACATCCGTCTAGTTTATCGTGATTTAAATGGGTTTATTAACAAAGAGTGAAAACATATTAGCAAGAATGGAGATAATACATTTAGGGTAATAAAGAAGAAAGCCTACTGTGAAAATGTTCCCAGCAAACAGAACGAGACAGCATCGAAACATATTTGAGAATGGGAGAGACAAATTCTTCTCCCTTTTGCTCCTCAGATTTGCAGCTAAATTATACAGAATTAAAAAGATACCTGTTTCTTAGTTCCCTATATTATCATATGCAGCAGTTATCTTAAACCCTTCATAAGTGCTAGTGGTTTACTCTCCCTATTCACCAAAAAAATAAAAAACAAGCTAATACCATGTTTTAGATTCCAATGGTTTGCCTGTGCTCTTTGCAAATTTATCTAGTAACACTCAAGGTTCACTACGTTCTGGGAAGGAATGCAAAATGCTGCATAATGAAGAGGATAACTATAAAGGAAAATGCACTGAGAGAAATGATCACCACCTGACAAGGCAGAGCGCACATAACAAATGCCCCGATCGAATGCGTGCGCGTACCTAATCTGTTGGACGGGTTCCTTTTGAAGAGGGCTCGCAGCAGGCTCTGGGCTTCTATGCTCAAGAACTGCGGCATTCCCAGCTTGGCTCTGAAAGAACACAACACTTGAAAAGAAAATAGATTTTTCACAAACTTTCTCCATCCCACTGTGGTTTAAAAAGTGGAATTGTAGTAGTCAGGATGGGCAGACGCATGAATTTGGTGACCAAAAGCTACCTAAGCATAATGAAACATAGAGTGAGGACCTGATCTTGTTCTGTTGAAGCTAAAGAAGGTTTTACCACTGGCTTCACTAGAAGCAGAGTAGATCTAATGAATCTCGTAACATCTTTTGCAACTTAAATAGGTCATTTTCCTACAAAAATTTTTTCACTTTTTTAGCTTGCTGGAATAAATTTGGGGATCAAGAGGAATTTAAACAAACAAACAAAACTTCATGAAAATAATTATACTAAACCACATATTGATAAAAGAGAATAAAACTTTTCCCCTGGCAATTCACTGCTATAGAGAAAAGATGTAATATTGAGCAAAGACAAGCTTCAAACACTTATGTCTGCACTTAACATTAAATGAACGGGAAATCTGCAAAGGAAAAGATTTGAAACTTGGCAACAACAAAACATAAGTTGTCCTGCAAAAATTTGGATGTTCTTACTTTTGTGTGGATAATGACATTCTTTATTACAGAAAGTAAGATACATTTCTTCTGTAAGGCCCTCTCAGTAATTCACTTCCTACTATTTATTCTGAAGGCAATTTTAGAGCCACATGCACGCATCAGCTGTGCACGCCTTACCAAATTCATGCCTTACATAGCTTTGAAAAACGCATTATGCATATTATTATTCTCTACCTTTCATATACTTAGGAATTATAAGCTGCCCGTTGGGTACAGTTAACTCATAGTTAGAGGAACGAAAGCAGTTTCAGTACTCACTTGAGAATGAGTGCCATTGTCTCCTTTCTGTCTTTTCCCTGAAAGGGTAACGATCCCGTCAGCATCTCAAACTGTGGAGTAACAACAAAATGGTAAATCAAATGAGCGTTGAGTCAGTCTGTATAGCTGACAGACACCGCATTCACTTTCTATTTCCAACACGACCGAAAACTTGAGGAAAAGAAATTGTCCAACAAGCGGTTGGACAGAAAAGAATGACACAGCAGCTCTGGATTATGCAGAACATGAAGGACCAACATGACCGTTTCGTTCAAGAGTCTTGTTACAAACTGTTTATACTGATACTTGGGGTCAAGTTTTGGTATGTTTGGGAAGAAGTGTCATATATGCTGTTTCCTCCAGCACCCGTTTTATGGCCAGTGCTGGAGATGAGATATTTGGCTGGAGGGACCCTTAGTCTGAATGAGTCTTAGGTGTTTGGCGTGCACTGTGGTGCAAGGAAAATGGATTCAACATGCCACTCTCCATCTTTTTAGCTTGAGTTGAACCACCTTTTCGATTGTATATTTGCACCACTTAAAGAAGCCACTGCTATACTTTGCAGGAGAAACATGCGCAAACCCCACATTCTCAAGGCATTTGAGTGTGCTTTTTTCTCTCCCGCTTTGGTTCCTCTGGCTGTATTACGTGATGAATTTTGCAAGTGTCACATTTAACTGAACCCAAATCTCAAAGCAAAACTCAGCAATCATCATCAATTATTTGCCTAACCCACACATGAAAACATCAATCAGTTATGGTTCCTTTGAAACAGATTAGTGCTTTCAGTACATTTGACAGGAATTTCACGTTTCTAAAAATAAATAATAAAAAAACCCAAACCCAAACCAGCCAAAGAAGCTCGCCTAATATGGATTCAATACCAGGTCTTTCATGCAGCTCTTGCCACAGTGTTTCATGGGGGTATGAGTGGCAACTGGTTCCTCTGACTAAGGATGATGAAGGTTATGCATCACCAAACACAGAAGCACCAAGAACATAATACAGCCCGGGCACAAAGGAGGACAATGCCCATTGAGGCTAAGGAGAACTGTTACTTGCTTATGTCTGTGACTCAGGCTTTGGATCTCTTCTACTATAATAAGTACCTACTAATTAATATTCATTGCTATAATTAAATACCTGTTAAGGCAGGACAGATTCTGCAACCCTTATGTAGTTTTTGTACCTTATCACACAAGTAGCTTCACTGCTCTTAGGAAGCACATTTGTGCAAAAAAGGATCCTTTCGTTACCAAAACCTGTGTCAGACTGCCTACAGCCTGAGTCTTCCCTTTTCCCAGACTAAATATAGCCATACCATAAGAAAAGTACAAGAAAGAATAAGAAAACTGTAACTGTGAAACTGTTATGCTGGTTTTGGGAGGAGGGCAGAGGAGAGGTTTAGAAGCCAGATAGCTAATTGACTATAATTAATTGAAGGATTAATCTGCATTAGTAACATATTACCTCAATGCAATAAAAAACATAGTAGAAACAAGGAAAAAACACTTTTAAAAAGTGTGTATGGCTGACAAATATAAACAAGATTTGGAAAACACAAATGTGTTAACTCCTGCTTGGTCTAGGAGAGTCAAGAGAAGAGCTGCCTGGTAGAGCTGAAGGAAAGCAGCTTGTCTTGTGAAGAGAAACATGATGGGGGAGAATTTTTAAAACTGCCTAAATGACAGTGGAGCTCAGACACCATTTTCAAAGTAATTCTGACCTATTAGAGCCTTAGTCCTGATAAAAGTGTTCAGATATACTGGGGATGAAGGGCAGAGAACATTGCTTCCCAGGGCAGCAGCAGAAGTGGCACATACTGTGCCAAACCCTCCTCACGATTTCTAAAGAGTTTATGTTCAGGGAAAGTACCTAATGTTCACTTACACTTGCTGGTGTTACTTTGTTGTTATAATAAATCCAATTTAACAGCACTAACAATGACTGCTGCAGCTCATTTATTTTGGCAGAAATGGGCTTGACACTGCTGATGCAGATGATACAGATATAAGCAACTGCTTGGTCAGTGACTACATGGGAAGAAGACAACTGTAGCTCCCACCCACCACGATATCACAGAAAGATCTGCAAATGCACCGTGGGTGCAAGGGGCCAAGAAACTTGAAGTCAAGAAATTCAGTGTAGTGTCCAAGAGGGGAGGAAGGAAGGAAAAAAGAAATTTAAGTTGCAGGAGGCAGCAGGGGAAATGACTGTCCTGGAGGCTGCAGGGAATATTTACTGCACTGCACTAATGGCTAGCACTTTGTTACCACATGTCTCCAATTATGCAGGTCTAATGTTGAGATTAATTCAGATTCAGAAGAAATGCACTTAACATCAATATTTAAAGTGAAAGGCAGCTACAATTTGTTAAATGTACCAGAGCTTTTTACTTCAATGAACTCAACTGAGCAGCTGCTGGAAGAAAGCACCGGTTTCTCAATTGCAGTCCTGATTACATCTGTTACATCTGAACCTGAAGGTTAAAAATGAAATACGACTGAAAAAAAAAAAGAAATAGTTCATCTCACCAGTGAAAGCTACCGCTTTACCACACAACAACCTATTTTCCTGCTTATTTTTTCAAAAAATCAAGAATCTTGCTAAACCTAAACATGCAAACAGAAGTGAGCGCTTGCTGCTAACATCCTTCCACATAAATACAGAGCTGTATGGGTCACAGCAGGTTGACAAGGAGCTGAGCCTTGGTGTAACGAAACTCTCTAGTATTTTTGGCTATTAAAGCAGACCCTATAGTTTTCCTAGGAGACTTAGTTTTCACTCTCCGCACTTCCCCATCTGTATAAATCACCTGTTTGCTCCTTGCCTCCCAGTGATTTGCTTCTTGGTTATTCTGGAGGGCCACCTCTGTTAGCCAATACTTCAGAAGGCTTTGCCTCCCTTCAACCTTGACTTCCTTTCTGTACCAGTATTCAGTAAGAAAGGCAAATATTCCCCAGTTCAGCTGCCTATTAAGAGAACCACAGAATTAAAGTTCGGTGGGAAGGGGCCTCTGGAGTCGCCTAATCCAGCTCCTGCGTAGGTCTCGACCTACTCTGCAGTGCTTCCTTTCTCTAGTTTTCGGGGCAATCCCCAATTTCAGTAGGCAAAACACCTGCACTGGAGACTCCAGAAGGTACACATGTGGGAAGACCTTGGGAAAGAGGGACACATTTCCTGAGGGAATGGATTCAAGAAATGAACCTGGTAGGTCATTGAGGAAGATAATGAATGAGAAAAAATCCACGGCCTGGGGTAATTGCCAGATGAATCTTCCTAGCAGATAGAAGGAGAGCAGATTGTGCCAATTACTTCAGCCCAAGTCTGCTGAAGTATTGTGAGCCTAGGACAAAATTCAGGGTTACAAAGAAGCTTAATACCACTCAGTTTGGGAGAGCAGAGAGAGACACTCTTGTCAGGACAGCCGGCTTCCCCTCTCAACACTTCCAGTCATTTTCCAGGTAGCTGGGAGCAGGTCAGCCACTCAGTTCTACCATTTGTAAAATGCATTAAATATTTTTCATTATTAGCCAGGTGTGAAGCATGATGAGTTAGTGTTTGCAAAGGGTTTGAATACTTTCACATAGCAGCTAGCATAAACAGTCAAAATACTGTTCATGAAGACCATCCCTTGCACTGGGAATAAAACAAGTGTTTTGATGGGATTTTGTAAAAGAAGATCGTATTGCTTTGATGTCTCGTATTGATTTTTCCAATGCCACTGTACAGTTACTACAAAATTACTACAGAGCTGACTACTTTGTCTGGATACCAAAAGGATATTTTATTTTCCTGTGAAGACTTCACTATTTACACATTCACTACATTGCTGACAAATGTAAACATATTTCTTTTTATTTGGGACTGCCTACAGAGTCATCACACCCCTGCTTTCTCTAATTATATTCCCCTCTCTGCTCACATGACTCTCAAAGGTGTACACTGTTTTTTTCCTGAAACAGATACAACGTCCATGAGGTCTGTGGCCTTGTAAATCAGCTGGTACGAAGAACTACAAAACCACTGCTTTGAGAGGCCTTCCAAGAGACTTGTGCATGTTATATCGTGCAGACCAGTTTATCTGGGCTTCAGAAATGGCAGTGTGGGCATCAAGGCTCTTGCAGCGCAGCTGAAAATGTGTTAGTCATATACACTACTTTTTAACAATGTAAGTCAACTTCTTGTCAATGCAGATCTCTTGATGCAAACCTTTTGTAGAATATGTCTCATCCAAAATCTCTAATGCAATGAGTAAGATGCAGAAAGGCAGAAAACGAAATCCATCCGGTCACGATAAACCACATAAATTCACCAGCACAAACTTTTAACTGGGTCCCAGCAGCCATCATCACACACTAAATGAGAGGCAGGTACTGTCATCTGGAATGCTTGGAAAGGGTGAATTTCAAGATGTGTGTAACTATACCCGTTGACACATACTAAGCTACCATAAAACAATTCAAACAAACTGAGCATCAAACGAACAGAGCAGATAACAGTTTTGGTTTTGTAGTCTGTGTCAAAGACTTAGCTGGTGGTAAATGAAGTTCTACTGTTGTTGATAGTAAAACTACCACTGAGTAATCATTAATAACATAATTAATAACATAATTAATAATTAATTAGTAAGACAAGACCAGAATTTTGTCTTTTTCAGATAAGTTTGTTTTGATATTAATAATCACAACATGCCACATTTAATGTTCCTTCGAGGATCATTTAGTTTGATTCTAGCCTGTGCCCTCGTCATTGCAGGTTGGCAAGGAGCTGCTAGCACAACCCAACTCTTCATACTGTAGCATTAATCCCTCTTCACAGAATAAAACAGACAAGAGAGTGTTTGGTTGCTCTTCTGGCTAGGTTACAGGCCATTGTATCATTGCCTCATACGTTCCCTCTATTGATCAAAATTTTAGGTATGAAAATTACACTATCACATTCACTTCCTTTCAGTCTGTGGATATGCCACCAACTGGTATATTTTCTTTGTATATTTTGCATCATACTGCAAATTACTTAGAGAGAAATGCTAATAAATCATTTGGATACTATTCCATTCTCTTCAGTTTTTCAGATTGGCAGAAAAACAGCTTCCCTAACAGAACATACAAGTGACAGACCAAGGAAAACAAGGAGAGATAAGCAGAGCGAAAGACAGCATCAGAAAATCCTCCTGCACTTTTAGTGTATGGAAATACCCTTTTTCTGCCCCAACCAGTTTATCGTTAAAAAGGAAAAAAGATTGAACCAATTAAAGCTCTTTTTCTCTAAGATGTCTGGTAGCACTCAAAGGCTTGAAGCATTAGCTTGCAGTTAAAATGATTTTACTCTCTTTAACTCATCTCCTTTTATATGGATTCTTATCTTTTCTAATTCTAATACATTGAATCCCTGGCGGAGGGGATGAAAAGAGAGAAGGAGGTGGGGAAGAAAAAAAAAGCCTAGCAAAAAACAGGTGGGAAGGAGCCAAGATCATTAGCAGGTGAAAAAAACCCAATCTATGCACCAAATACACCATCAACTCTTTTTAACTGGAGACAGACAGTGAGGAGGCACAGTTATCCTCCAAAACTAAACATAATAAAAAAATTTAAAGGGTTGGGATATATTTATTATATGAGACATAACCTATTGATTTTCCTGTATAAACATATGTGGTTCATCCACAAATGGATTTGTGGCCATAGAAGATAAGGATGTTCTACTCGTTTTAAATTGAGGTCATAAATTACATTATTTACTCAGATTAACTGCTGTCAACCAGCTAGATCAGTAATGTAGGCCCTCCCCACACCAAATTTTCACTAGTTTTCACATTGCTTCCTATCCTTACTTCCTTTGGTGACACCAGTTGTCTACTTAGGGTAAACAACATTTAAACACTCTATGGATTGTGGGCTGTAGTATAGCTACCTAAAATATATAGCTTCCCTACCACAGTAAATGGAGCTGTATTAGAAGAGCGGGTTGCTACGTTAATTTATGCTTCTGCCCTGGTTCTGCAGGGGAGCCGTGATAACCATGGTGAGGTGCAATGTGAGCCACAGCTGCAGTGCTGCGCTGCGCTATTAGTGGCCATGCACTGAGCACTTGGGTAGACCTGCAGCCTGCACACTTCAGGAGAGAGCAGCATCACCTTCGTTAACGGAACGTACCCCTGTGAGAGTAATAAATGCTCAAGGGACAGCACTGTGCTTGATAAAACGACACTAGGAATAACTGCTTCAAAAAACCTACAGCATTCATACAGCTTTTAAAAAATCACAGTGTCACAAAACAACTCCTCTTTGATTTTAGCATCATCCTCCTCAGCAGCAATGGCACCACAGACTGAAGAGGCTGGACGGGTGCAGGAGGGAGCAGGTTAGTGCCCGAAGACCCAATTTTAGATGGCTGGCATGTGGAGGGTTCAATACCTCTCTGAAAAACTTCCCTGACACTGCATCCCAGTGTCCAATACTGCAGCACTCAGAAGGATGTTACTGGGTCCTTCTCATAAGCCAAGCAGCTCCACTGTAGTTATTAGGTATCTCTCGCAGAGCTCTTCTACTGGAAAGTGTTTTCCAGGGCCTCACTTCTTAAGCAGTGGGGAGCTTCTACTTTCCAGGCTAACTATATTTCATAATGCTCTTAGGGAAACATTACTCTTTAGCTTAAATAGCTCCTTTCCCTCTGTGGTGTTTTCCCCTGTGATGTATTCATAGATGGTATAGGTACTATACCATCTTTGGACCATTATTGGACTAATAAGCATCTTCAATTAATGAATTTCCCCTGCAACATTGTATCAAATACTTTATTATAATGCAGGCACGTGAGATCCACTTCACTTACTTTGTTTAGAAAAAGATGGCTATCTCATCGAGTACAATATCAGATTAATCTAGCACGACTGATTTTTGGTAAACTCACGTTGCGTTTTAACTAACTTTCCATTGATTTCCATGTATAAAAAATGAATTAGCACAGTTTCAAAGATCGATTTCATTTAAACCACCTCCAGAATAGCTTGCAAGACTCTTAAAAGTTAAGCAACAGCGAGGAAAAATTGCTACTTTTGTACAGTGTTGGGGAATGGGCCTTCTTGCCCTCCATGCCAGATATTCCTCGGTCACAAATTACCACTGCTGACCAGTTACAATTAGAATTTCCCCTTCAATAGTTAATCCAATGCGAAGACGTGAGAAAAGGATTAATTCCTAACTATTCCTCTGTGCCAACTGATAGATTTGTGTCTGCTTCTAGTGATTTCTTCCCTGAAGAGAAGTAATTTTAAAAGTGTTTCACATATATCAGTTTAAAACCAGCTTCAGCATACACTCAGGACAAAATAAACATCCCAAACTAGTCATAATCAAGACACAGCAAAATGGTACAGAAGAAGAAAGGAGGATGACATGGTACCCATATGTATTTGTTTTCTTTTCCCACCAGGACAAAAGAGAGGTTCTTGAGTGACAGTCTCCCACCAGCTAATAATGACTGACTAGAAATCCACTGCCAGATACTCCAAAAGCTACCTGATTCTCATTAGTGGAACAAGAGTCAATTATGTGAAGAAGATAGACGAATGGTAGAAGAACCACTGAGGTCCTGCAAAACTTTCAGAGTGCCCTCCAAAAAAATGTCCTTTTAAATCTATATTTTGCAGAAAGAAAGAGTAAACTTCTGAGTTTCTCTAAGAGGATATCCCTAATCTCTAAAAATTGCTGCCTGGGGAATTGTTTCCTAACCGGAACCACATTAGTAGCTAGGCAGAGGTTTCTTCTGAAATGCCTGAGCTCTTCTGAGCTTGCCCTGCCCTGTTTCTGTGAAATGGAAATATTCATGGCTCACGGTAACCAACCGAGACAGCAAAGGACTTTGAGAAGGAAGAGAGACAATCTGGGGCCAAATGCTACCCCATATACAGCCAGGAGCAGCTGGATCCTACCACTGATGCAATGAAAATGATCACGCAATCATTACACATCTACTTTCCTATCAACTCTCAATTGCTGAAAGCGGTACTTTTTATCTGAGGGGTCTGATCACTCCTACAGCCACCCCTCCAACAAACACACACAACTTTTCCATTACCATGAGTACGCCAAAAGACCACCAGTCGGCACTCTGCGTGTGTCCCCTGCGGTTGACCACCTCTGGGGCCATATACTCTATTGTCCCACAAAACGAATACGCTCTCTTGTCATGGTCGATGGCTTCTTTACTCAGACCAAAATCTAAATAAATTGAAACAAAAAAGACTTGTCAGATCTTATTTACATTTTTGGTCATTTAAACTGTTCAAACAAAACACACCCACCAGCCGAAGAAGAACCCTTCTGTCTGCATGCAGAAAGGCCACAGGCACGTGTGCGCTGAAGCCCTGTCTAAGTGAAGTGCTGGTTGGCATTTGTTAATATGTCCTGAAAGTAGGTGTATCATTTTCTCTGTTCAGAATGAGGTTCTGGCCCAAAGCAGAAGAGAGAGTTTAAACAGACAGAAATACATAGTTCAGGTTTGGTGAAGACAATACTGGTAAGGATTCTTGCTCAGATAACCAAAGCATTAGGAATAATAATCCCAAATGGACAATGAAAAGGATGGCCAGACAGCACCTCCAGGGTGGCAAAGGGATGTCTTTCCAGATGTCCTCTGCACAGTGATAATTCAGAGAATTTAATCTGGAGTAAGCAGTCATACTGGAGGCACCCTTCCATCCGCCAAGCCTGCACGCTTCACATCAGTCAGGAGTACAATTTTACCAAGAAAACGCTATGTTCTCCATCTGCTGTGCAGCACGGGTGCTTGACGAATTTCCAGAGAAGAGAACCCCAACACTCAAACTCTTCAGGCTTCTGAGTTTTTGTAAGCAAACTCTTTCCACACAAAGATAAAGATGCATGGAACATACTGCAGAAAAAAACACCAGCTTGTAGACATTAAGTTTTCCATTCTCACATACCTGTTATCTTAATGTGGCCCTCTTCATCAAGAAGAATGCTGTAAAGAGAAAAAGCAAACATTCATTCATTAGGCAGGCACAGAGTGCAGTTAACAAACATGAATAAAACATGTTTAAGACAGGTAAGGAGATATGCAAGACTCAAATACACGTGTAAACAAACCCCCAGTGGATTATATGCCTCCAGAAAGAAAAATGATCCTCTAAGGATCATTAGACAGACCTAAGAAGGTCTGTCTAATCTCACGTCTGAAGCACACACGGCCTGCGGCAGTTGCACGGGGAGCCTCCTCCTTACTCCATAGCATGCTCAGGGTGGGCATGCAAACTGAGCTCAGAAAGAACAGGGTGTTCAAAGCCAACAACCGCAGAGTATCTGCTTCCAGCAGGAGAAGGAGCTACAGGTTTTCGGCTTTTCTCATAATAATAAAGGCAAGCACACAAATAATCAGGGCTTGGACTCACTGGACCTAAAATTAACTCCAAAGGTAGATACGTTCATGCTGAAGTAATAAAAGTGATCATAGAGCATAATGACTAGTCACAGCCTAACTGCATGGATCTCAGCCCCTGCTAATTTATTCTGTCCGGAAGCATAAATGAAAATTCAGCCTGGAAGCCAAGTTCAAGTGTTCTCACGTTTGCCACCTGCCAACATATTTTATTCTCACAAAGGCACTCCAACATTGCTGTGAGAAAAATGACTGTAGCTCACAAAAAGCATTGCTAGTTTTTACAGAAACAAGAAGGAACACTGAAACCGAAAAATAATGATTTCTGGTAACTTTTCTGCCTATAAATACCGACACAGTAATGGTGATGTTTCTTCAGTTCTAGTTAGATGTAGTATATTTCTCATTTCAAAATGGTCTAGCGAGGTGTCAGCTATTTTTACATTTCCTTTCTCTTAGAGAGTCACTTTAATCCAATTATTCAGGAAGAAAGTAAGACAGAAATGAAACAAACACATTGGGCTATACTTTTGTGAAAGGTTATCTCTGTACTGAAGCATAATTGAAAAGAGATGATCTGTCACTCATTTGTGTGTTTAGAACAGACTGATATTGTGTAATTCATCAAACAAAGGCCAGCAGCTGAGTCACTACTATGTGTTTAATAATTAAAGCTTTTTCTTCTCGATAAAAGCATCTTTACCTCTATTCTTTCTCCCTAGATTTCTTGAAGAGGCATAATTTTTAAGTACTAGCCTATAACAGGCATGTTTAAATGTATTTTTGTGACTGCAGTCCCTAAAAGAGAAGCTTGTGCTTCAGAAGAGAACAGAATAAAACACCTGCCAGTGTGGAAGTCAGCGTGAATGTACGAACTCCACAGACCTGGCTCCGGAAAAACGGCAGGGGGGAGTACAGCTCACAGAAATCACCCAAAATTTTGCCCCACATCCAGGAAGCGCCTGTGAATAACAATGCAATTCAAAGGTTGCGGGACTTTCCCCAGAAACATCGATTATATATTTCACAGATTTCCTATTGAAAATCCATGCTGCTTTTCTATGTATAGAATACATGTTTTTCATACCTTTGCCCTCATTAGAGGGTTCATACCTTACCCTCATTAAAAGGATGGAGGCAATACCAACGCAGCTATCAGACGGATAATACTATCTTAGGTTAAGTGAGCCAGAAGCATACAACGGACTTTGTCACACTGAATGTTTGCATGAGCAGCAAAATGAACGGATCCTGGTTTCCTCTGGATGTGTATCCTATATCCCCTAAAACTTGATCTACAGTTCCCTCCTCTGTCTCGTGTTCTCTAACCACCCTTACACAGTGCCCGCAGCTGCCTGCAGCTTCCCCTGTGGCCCCTGGCAGCACCCTTTGGACAGCTGGATGTTTCCACATTTCCCATCTGCCAACACATATAACGCTACGGTTGTGAACTAAAAATTACCTTTGATGTAAAAACAAAATAATATGCTAACAGTGAGAAAAGAGATAACTGAATTAGCACTGAATTAGCTTAGAGTGACATTAAGAAGCAAAGAACAAGGTACCTGCTTCTAAACATCCGAATTACAACAACAGACAAATAGTTGTCCTTTGACTGTAGAAGCAAATTTACTATCTGATCATACTTTCTGTCTTCTCTTTTTATCTTTATCGCTTTACAGTTCCTTTTTATCTCACACTGTCCGTAGTAAAAATTCTATTGTGACAATCACAATTACTTTAGCTATGGTTTGCAGGATCAGCTAATCTGAAATAAGCTAGTATTATTTTGTGGAAGGGAAAAAAGAACCAGAAGTTGTTCATGTGATTCAGGGTTGAGAAAAATCTTTCCTCTAAATCAGTGTATTGAAGTTATAAAGAACGTAAGTCGTAGACTACTTTTAAATGTTAAACTAGGCCATAATCCCTTTCACTATGAGATTTTTCCATTTTATTTGTCCAGTTTAAGGTTTGAGTGTGTTTACAGGATACTATCATTGTCAACCTGTTCTTTATTTCAAAACAATAACAACATTTTAGCCTCAGGATCATCCCACAAACATTCAAACTGCTTTCGTTGACTTCAGTTTAAAGTATGCCTTGAGAAAATAAAGGCTGAAAATCTCCACATTAGAGTCTGGGAAACTAAGCTAGTAGCAAAGGAATGACATACCCCAAGTTACAGGAGAAGCTTCTAGTAGAGCTAGGACTGCAAACTCCTTACCAGTTTTTTTGCTGCAACTTTAGCACACGGATAAAAAGCCTTTGTTATTAGTTGTTGACGTTATTTTATAGTGACTCTTAAATCAAGGCCATAGCAATTCTCTCCCATTTCTCCCTCTCTCTTTATTTTTCGTTTTGAGTCATGTCTTTCAGGCTTCACTTTGAACTCCAATATACCCAAAGCATCGTGAAATTCTGCGAAGTCTATTAAAGCTGGAACTCTGGGGGGGTTTTTGATGATTTAAGTTTCTTTCCAAGTCAGCTCAGTTGTGCAGAAAATTCAACCCACACTTTATGTTTTTCAGAAGTTGTAGCCAAAATTTCAGGTTGGAAAGAAAACCTGAAACTGCATAAAGAGTGTTTAATTTGATTGCAGGCTTTGTCATGAAAGTACCAGATAGAGTGAAGTATTCAAATATCTCCCAAAAAGATGAAGATTCTCACAAACTGTCCACCGTTTGTGCCATTTCAGTGTTTGCATGACCCCATACTATCTCACCATGCTGAACAGTCTGACGCCAAACTCATGTCTGCTGTAGCTTCATTGACCACAGAAGATGGTGGTGATTTTCCACCAAAAGTCTTTGTCCTTTACTGATTCTCAGATCTCCCCTCTTTACACAGGGCAGCTACATTCGTGAATTAATTGCCACGGTTTACAACATGCTGCATTAAGCAGCGGTGGTTTGTTTTTTTTTAATATAGTTCAACAATTCAGGAGTTGTTATATGAGCAATTACATGAGCTGTCCCTTGTACAGACAGCTGAGGACATTAGAACATAAACCACTCCTTATTAATCAAAGCCCCTGTGACAGAATCGTATCAAGGTGTATCTTGGTACCTGGAGATAGAAAAGGCAAAAATAAATGTAAAAATCTGTGTGTTCTCAGAAGGTAGAGTTACTTCTAAACCCTTAACATACCCTTAAACCACAGCATAAAAAATAACAAATGCATCATATACATTTTTCTAGTTCAGTATAGCCATATTTAATAGCTTGATCCTCCAGTTCTTAAACAGAAACATGCCTCACCATGTAAGTAACTCCACCAGTTTCAGTGTGACTGAGCATCCACTCAGGGATCCTGATCCACAAGGGATGCCACTGAAACCACCAAGACAAACTCAAGGAGAAGAGTTTGGCTGCAATGATTTAAGGGAAGAAGCATCTGCTTGTCCTAAACAAGACTTTAACCAGAAAATTCAATTGCTTGCCTTTTTGAAGTAAGTACAGCTAACTTTGTAACAACTCCCAGAGTATATATTCTGCTGGCACTTAAAATTAATTCATAGCTTTGAATGGTTAATATGGATTTTTGCTCAGGGAATAAAAAAAAATGCTGAACCTTACATTTTAATGTACTGAGAGTGTGGTCTGAACAGTGCTATTTTCTAACAGTCTTCTAATCTAGTCTAGTCTTCTTTGACATAAACAATTCCGACGAACTTCCTTTTAGGATACTTACAGACCAGACTGAAGCAATCTCAAATCTATTAGCAGTTATTTTTGGGAGCTTCTGGAGGACAGCGAAAGCACTGAACAATGAAAGAAGGTGCCTACTATGAAAATGCAGTGCCTATCTTTTAACAAAGGGGGAGAGAGAGAATTGGGAAATTACAAACTAATTAATTTATCTCCAGTTCTGCAAATCTGATAGAGTAAACCTTGTGCTCTAATCAGACTGGTAATGCTTCTCCTGAAGACGTGGGTGTAATTCTGCACATTGCATTTCAAAGGAGATATGGATCAAGAGAAACCAAAGGCGGGGAATGAGAATGACTGAAGACCCAGAAAGACTGACTGGTGAAGAAGAGTTTGGTAGTTGGACTGTTTAGGGTACAAAAGGGAGGTCCGAGGACACGGACGTGCTTGCAATCCCCTGAGGCTGATGCTGAGAGAAGAAGCAGCTGGCTGGGGAGTCTAGAAGGACAGGCCAAGGAGCAGTGGCCTGCAACTGCAGCAAAGACATTTCAAATTAGCTGTTAGGAGCAACTTTCTAGATGTACAACCGGTGGAGCACTGCCAAGAGGCCTCCTATGGAGACCACAGAGCCTCCACCAACTATTTTAAGAATAGGTTAGCAACACATCTGTAATGACCTTGATATATTTGACCCTTCTCAGAGGCAAGGGGAGGATGATGGTCCTAAACTTCTTTTATCGTCTTATTTAGAGAGCTATCCTTTCCCAGATGTAAATTAAAAATATAGCACTTTTTTCCCTCCAGAATGAATATTTTTTTCTGCTGTACCTGTTTTTTTACTCTGAATCTAAAGTTCCAGTGAAATCATAGGCTGTCATGCTCTGCTCTCCTAGGCATGACTACACATAGGCTTTGCACTTACAAAGTTATTTTTAAAGGATATGGTTTTCAGTCAAACAGAAGCCTTGATTTATCCCCAGGTATGAATTTCAGTTATACCAGTCTGGGTCATTCCCTTTCCTGTACAACGATAGTTACATTCATGTAAAGTAATTTTATACTACGACAGTTGTATCCAGATGCAACTGTACCACTGGTATCTATTTAACTATACACCAAAGACCATAAACCATACATTCAAAAGTTAGGAAATACCAGAAGGAGGGCTGCCACCTTAGCTTTACACAGTGATCTCACTGTATAAAGGTCTTTAATTGCATGATGATACTTTTTGTTTTCTTCTAGAGAGCTCTTGCCTCAATTGGCAGAACAGATAACATACTCAGGGATTCTCAGGGATTTTAGCAGAATGGTACAGTGAAGGGGATGGCTGGCTGGTTTCAGCTCAGAACTGGGTTCCATCTTTGCCTTTTCAACATGTTTCTATGTGACAATGGCAAATTAATGACACCTTCCTTTCTCAGGTGAGCTCTGATTTCTCAATTCACTGATCCCTGATTTGAGACACTGCAGTTTGGTCTGCAGAAATTTTAAGTGCTCTCACTTGCAACCGAAGTCAGCGAGAGATGTGCTTTGAAATGCAAAGTGACACATAATGCTGAGAACTCTGAAAAACCAGGCTCTCAGTATCTCAAATACAGTGAATAGTTCTGACATGCACTTAATTTTTCTTTTGGTTTCTAACTTCTCCTAAAGCAAAAAATTATGGCATGTGCCTATAAATGTAACAGCACCATGACTTACATTTGAATATACAGGCTCATATTTGGATACCTTCTAATAGCAGTTCCCTATATCATGTGTTAGCTTGAAAAACAGCTTCATCTAGCACCAGAAAGAAAAGCAGTGTGTGATTCATACTAACACTCACTAGAAACGAAGTTTAAAACTGAAAACCTGTAATTGGAGTTATTCTATTATGTACATGTTTGTTGATGCTGAGTGAATAAAATAGCAATTCAGAACGAAGTTGAAGAGCTGCTTGCAGATGATGCAACAGCACGTGGCAGTGGCAGCTATGGTGTCACCGCTGCCTACCTCCATTTCATATTGTGTAACAAACTGCTACCTTTATCCCTCCACTGGTTTAATTTGGAGGATGACTTCTTGTAATTGCCAAAGACACTGGTTTTCAGTTTTGGTTGCATAAACGGGCAAGACTGGAAATTTTGGTCACCTGCGAAAGGGTCTCTAGCCCAAAGAGCTGAGAGCTCTGGTTACGTACATCTGTGTGAATTCATATAGTACTACTGCTATTACTGTTGTAACCAAAACATAAAATTGGATTTAAAGTTTAAATCACAGAGTACTGTGTTGTAGATAAATAGTCTCCCCCTCTTCAACTTCTTACCTACAAAATTCACTTCCATTACTCTTGGTCACTTATTTTGTCCACGAGTGTGAAAGCAATAGCACTCCATTCTAAAGAAAGAGCTGCATATTTTTGAACTTCATGTCACGGAAGGAAAAGGCTGCTCTGCTTTTATACTTTGGGACTGTAAACAACAGCCAAACAGACTGCTCTCAGTGGTCATCTCTTTTAAATGACGGTGACCATTACATTAAAAAGGCATATCTTTGAAATGTTGCAGCCTGTTGTATTGGAATCGGCACAGAAGATACAGGCAAAGCACCAGGCAAGTGGCACGGAATAAAAACAATATTACATCACTCCCAGTGATAGCACTGAGGGTGTAATTTAGTCTATTGACGAACTGCAAAGAAAAAAAGAGAAAGGAAAAACCTCCATAGCACCACATTAGGAATAGAAAATAGCTGCAAATATAAGCGGGAATCATTCTTGGGAAAATATTTTGGATCATTAATAAAAGTGTTTTTAAAATCCTGATTATCATGTCTCTTGTGAGTTAATATGCACACTAGTTTTCAGAGATGCTCATTTACTTTAAACAATGACTACAATAAAACTGAACAGTGCCACGACATATTTCGCATGAGCTGGAAGTGGAGTTGCTTTGAGTGGTTTACACCACACCAAGGGGAAGGCCAGATTAAATGCTGCAAATGGAGAACAGTGCTACTGAAGTCAAAGGCACAGAGATCTGAATCCCACGCCGAGATCGTTCACTAAACTGAAGGCCAGGCACACAGAGGCCACATCGTACTGGAACAGAGTTGAAGTATTTGGCCTTATGCTAAAATGATATAATAGGAAGACCCTACTCCTGATGGTGAGGGTCTCATGTATGGAGTCTCGCATACAAGAATGAAGGCAGAGCCTCTGGCACCTTTTAACTTGCTAGCATGACAAGGAGCAGAAACAACCTAAAAGCTCACATATTTACGTTTCAGTTCGCTCTTTCGCTCTTTCTCATTAACTTACCGGGGGGGTTTTAGATCCCTGTAAATAATTCCAAGACCATGGAGGTGGTCTAACGCCAAGGCCAGCTCAGCTAAGTAGAACTTGACATCCTCTTCTGTAAACATCACCTAGAGAGAAGGAAGAGAAGAACATGTCTATTTACTGGACAGTGGTGGGCTGGCTTGCATTAAACAGACGTGGGGAAGGAATTGCCTAACTCGAGAATGCTGGAAGGACCATCATATCAGGTTCAATTTTCCATAATTTGTCTGAGCTCACATTAACAATTCTTACCAGATTCTCCTCATAAAACAAAACTTAATCTCTGGAGTACTTGTGTTCCTTAAAACATGCTGCTCTCATTTGTCTGTTTGATCTGTTTAGATGACATCATGTTGCAATAATATGAATAAGGTTCTCACTCCTTAGCCTTTGGAAATGAATGGCAAAATTCAATGTGTTCAGTGCAGCCCTTATTGCTTTCGTATCTCTTAATTTGCTAAAATCTTGGCATTTGGTTACCGAATTCCCACAAAATAATATAGGGTAACCTCTTTGGGGAAGTGTGGTTTTTAGCAACCAAAACACATTTAGTTCCCAAACATGAGCAGAATACACAGCATGAAGAGGCTCAGGGATGGATTTAAACCCCCATGCATAGAGGGTTTAAGGAATCTCAGTGCAGATGCCTTAAGCAATGATGTGCTGTCTAACATCCAGGGCCTGATGAGGTCGAAACTGAGGGCAGTTGTCTTCTTTCTATAGCTGATATGGCTATGACTCACACTGAAAGCTCTGTTTTAGGTGGGAAGAAACTCCTGCAATTGAAAAAACATTAAGCTCAGAAAAATTGAGCTAAGATGGCAAGAAACCCCTTTGGTTCAACTTTCATTATATCCCAGATGATACTAACTTCTCTTTAATTAAATTTCAATATGTACAGCAATAATAATGCAGAAGGAGAGGCTGATATATTACATACACAGTTGTGAATACTATGTATGACAGAAGTGAAATGAGTCCGCTCAATAAAAATTTACATGTCATATGTAAATGTAAATATCTACAGTAGAAGTTGCCGAGCTTATTTTTAAAATTAAGTCTCTGCTCTTGGAAAGGGGCAGCCACAATACTTGAGTGCTCTGAGAAGCTGGAGAAGGCTGAGAGCAAAAAGAGAGGATTCAGAGAACAGATGTCGCATATTTAATTAAGAATATCACTGCAAAGGCTAGAAAGAAAAAGGATACACAAGCAAAAACTCTGACTAAAAATTTAATTGGTCTGAACATAAAAATTGCATTAATTATTCAAATAAATTTAAATTATTTATAAGGTTTAAAATAAGTAATGTAGGCAAAAGATGAAATCAACAGAATCAGAGAAAATCTTATCTATACAGATACACCCAGCTAAAGCCAGATGTCTTGGAAAGATAGAGCAAGAGAGAGACAAGCTTTGCATGCACACATGCAATATATACTGTATCCATGTATACTAATACAGGATCTGACTGGAAGTCCACTGAAATCAGTACCATTGGACCAAGTCCGTAATTAACAAATTGCAAGCAGTACAAGTTTTCCCATAAGGTCTTCCCTTGCGATACCTTGCCACTACAGCTGCAAAGTACAAGTAGACAAGATGAGCTGCAAACACTAAAAAAAGAAGTATGTATAAAAGGACTGTCAAGTTAAGAGGACTCGTTCTTGATAGTATAAAGCAGAGAAATCAGCAGATTGCATTGAGAAAGCTTTGGGGAAAATGTGAAGTTTTAAAGGAGTACAAAATCCGAGCTGTTCTCTTTCACTTTCGAGTTCCCCAACTGTGCAGAACATATAGCTGCCCTCTGTAGGCAAGAATCACTTTTTCTCTCTTCTCCCATGAAACCGAAGAGGCCCTTGCTAAGACAGCACGCCGTGTTGCTAACAAAGCCTGATTTCACGACGAGCGGCAGAAGGATATTTTTATTTTCTTTAATCTTTTTCCTCATATTAAAAATAACTGCTGCCATGTACTAAGTACTTACATGAGTATCGTTACTCGGCAGTGTAATTAACCTGTTGCTAATGTCTTCTTGCATTAGCAAACAAGCCTTGAAAGCGAATACTTGGGCTCCCAAGCTGTGGCGCACACAGCAGCCTGCAGCATGTCACTGAACCAGGAATCAAACGGGGGAAAAAAAAGCTAGAGAACTTTTGAATGAAAGTACTGTTTTCACAGCTTTTTTAGTCCATCAGTAACTCCCCAAATCAAGAAGAGCGATCACAGCTTCCTCTCAAGATGGCATTTGAAAGGTCCCTATTTTATCTTTAAAGATTGTGTGCTAGGTGGCTGCTGGCACCCCCATCCCCACAGCCTGGAAAGAGACCAAGGGCTGGAGACATCACGTTGGTGACAGAGCACGCCGGGGCGCAGACAAGCCCCCGGGGGTGGCAGGGCTGCCTCGCCGGAGCCTCCCGTACTGCCTGCAGGACTCTCTGAGGCTAAATGCAGGAGGATGCACCGCCTCAAGCAACACAGACAGCTGGCTTGAAGAGGCATTTGGAGATGCAGGCAAGTGCTAAACGAACCTAGAAAACCTGCCGCTGCCGCTCTCTACGGGCACTAGCGAGACTCAAGTTTGGACCGTTCCCTGGCTGCCTTTTTCTCCAGCAGCAGCATCTCCCCAGGGCAGGAGCTGCGGAGGACAGGGAAGGGATGGGAGCCCGGGGAGGTGATGGAAGCAGCAGCTGCCCCCAGACAGGTAGGAGGAGAGCCGGTGAGGGGTGGGACAGCCAACCTCCAAGCCCTGGGGCGGCACGTGGCCTCCCACCTGCTCCCAGCAGCTGCTGCAGGAGACGGCTCTTTCCCCACTCGCCGGCTGATGCCCTGCTGTCTGCACGCTTGCTGCAGGGGTTGGCCCCTGACCTACGGCCATCTCTTTCTCCTGGCAGCGGTTGTGATTTTCCAGCAGTTCTCTGCCCATGTCCTGGGCAAAACGTATTGAGGATTGATTTCTCAGACTGTTTCTTATCACATCCAAGACATATTTTTGTGAGCAATGAGTCTGGGGCTATTTTGCTATAGGAATTGCTTAGTAGCGGTGCAGTTTTCTCTGACAGTGATGCTTACATGGTATCTGCTGCAGTACTGATGGCATAATTCAAATACGATTATTAAGAACACACTTAAAGATGCAAGATGATACAGCTCTATTACATACATATAGCAGGACTATTCCCAAGGCCATTTTTCATTCCCACCAACTTGGGATTTGGTTTCTGGAAATCAGGACAGTCTTTCATTTCTAAAGTTAAAATCTATCAGCTTACCTCTTTGGAGAGTCTTGTGAAAAGGTCCCCTCCGCGCAGGAAATCTAGTATTAGATACAACTTTCCCTCTGTTTGAAATGCTGCATTAGACAAGGATGGAGATGTTGGAAGTTTGAATCAAGATAAAGTCTCCAAAGAATTAATCTTGTTGACTAGCAGTGTATCATTGATGCCACTAGCTTCACTGTCATTTCAGCACTTTGAGAACAGAAAAATTTAATTTCTCTATAGAACTAAGCAATTGAGCTTAGACAATGGGAAAAAATGGTATCAGCTGAGAGACAACGATGCATTACTAATATATTCTTTTCCATGCTAAGCGCCTATGAATTAACATTGCTCTCCATTGCACAAGATCAGGAGTCACTAAGGGCTAAGCATAGAGAGAAGCTCCCAGGTTTGTGTGAGGGGAGAGCTCATACTATCCAAAATGTTATCAGAAGACCCTTTACAGTAATAATGGGGCTCCTCAGGGAGCTGGTGAGGCAGGGGAAGGCAACTCCAGCAAGACACCACATTCATATACACACATATACAAATTTGGACTGGTGCTGATTATTAAAAACAGTTTTTATTCAGATTCTCTGGTTTTCTAAATGATACCTGACACCAGGTGAGGGGGTTGGCAGATGTATACTCACACAGGTAGCCTCTGTGATTTTATTAGAGACAGAGTCATAAGTAGGCAGGGGATATCTGTATGAAATTATAACACATCTAGTTACAATTCCCAAACCAATTTAAGAACAAACATGAATTATATTTTAATATAGTTACCATAATGAAGCTTGACTATGAAAGGATGATTCACTTCTGCCAAAATATCTCTCTCCATTTTTGATCGTACCCGATCCCGAACTATAAAGAAAGAACAGTAAGAACAGCGACATATTAAGAGGCAGCACGGTCACTGGATACAGTACTGGAATGAGGTTCAGGCGATTTGAATTCTGCTTCTCACTCTGCTGATGGCTTGTGGTGTGACCTTTGGCAAACCACGCCACTCTCTGGTTTCCCCTTTTTCTGCTTCTCTTGTCTATGCAAAGAGCAAGCTCTTCAGGAAGGCACCCTGTCTTCCTCTGTAGAGAACTGCCCTAACTAAAAGGACTACATTATTACAAACAACAGGAATGTGATTATGCTTTGCAAAAGAGAATGTTAATGTGAAAATTAAAACTATATAAAATTAATAACTCTGTCTCATTTAAGATTAAATAGAATGTACCAGTCCCAGAGCTTGTTGGGTTAACCTTGTGCAAATTAACTTTTTGTATTGTGCTGATGCTAGCAGCGTTTATGAGATATCACTGAATAGCACTCTCTGGAAGTGATTTATATAAAATATTTTTAGCTTCCAATAAACCACCCAAACAATCAGTAATAAAGAAAAAAGGCTGATTAAAAATAGTAAAAAACTATTTTTATGTGTAGAGATACATTATTATGTGATAACAGTGAGAAAAACACTTTTTGTGGTTGAGATGAATAGAGAGGAAGAGAAAAAATAGTTACTGAGGTGAGCTGGCTTCAAACTAATCAAAACTGACGCTGAAGATTTCATAGCAAAGACATTTAGCAGAATGTTCAGACATTGAGGAGGATTCAAATCCTCACATTATCAGCTCTTGATCTTGCAGATTCATTTTTCAGTCAATCACAATTTTACTAATTCCATAATGAAAGCATTGAAATTTTCTTCTTTCTCTGCGTTACGCAATGCCAATATGCTTTTCAGCTGAAAGCATCTACAAGGAATGTTATGAGACTATTTTAGGTGGTAAAGCCTGAGATCTCAGTGAGATTGTCATCGCCTGCATGTGTTGCGGATCCGCTGAGAAGCTGAGCACTCTCAGCACCCAAGTAATGAACATGCCATAATGAAACCACATATTCTGTTGCTGTAGTTCAAAAATTAATGCACAGAACTAGGTCCAAAAGAGCTGATCTGAAAACCTTAAATAGGAGTGGAGGGACACTTGGATTTCTTACTATTTTGATGCTTTACTTAGGTCAATGGCAACGTAAGCTTTATTAGCTCACTCAACCTAAGCTACCTTGTGGCTAAAAATCAGAATAAAGGGAATCTCAGAATCTTAATCTTATCTCATGAGTAAAAATCACACATCATACACTCACAAAAGGCTTAACCTATGTGAAGGCAGAGTATTTCTCATGCTGTAGATCAGCGATGCTCCCAGGGAGAAATTCTTGTTGGATAGGTGGGCATTGCTGAACACTCTACGTGGGATATTTCCCATTAATTTCCCATTAAGCTTGGTGAGATAGCCTAAGAAAGTGCCTCTCTGCACTCACACTGCACAGGCGTGAGAACAGACTGTCAGAACGGCAGTGTGCCCTTCTGTCTCCATCATTTCAACCTCTGAACAGGTGAAGGCACAGATGTGTGGCCAGGCGCTTTGCCGGAGCCCCCCGCGCTGTGCCCTGCTCACTGCTGTGGTGGCTACAGGCTGTGGACCTGTCAGGATGCCACGTCACCCTCCTCCCCACATGTATACAGCATGCCTGGAGGCACAGAGACATTAAAGAAAAGGCTATGTCACCACAGAAAACACCTCATTCTCCGCAGCCATGGCCCCGTAACCGCTCTGGACCTAGAATAAAATCATAGAATCATAGAATAGTTTGGGTTGGAAGGGACCTTTAAAGGTCAACTAGTCCAACCCCCTGCCCTGGGCAGGGACATCTTCAACTAGATCAGGTTGCTCAGAGCCCCGTCCAACCTGACCTTGAATGTTTCGAGGGATGGGGCATCTACCACCCCTCTAGGCAACCTGTTCCAGTGTTTCACCACCCGCATTGCAAAAAATTTCTTCCTTAAATCTAGTCTAAATGTACCCTCTCTTAGTTTGAAACCATTCCCCCTTGTCCTGTCGCAACAGGCCCTGCTAAAAAGTTTGCCACCATCTTTCTTATAAGCCCCCTTTAAGTACTGAAAAGCTGCAATGAGGTGTCCCCGAAGCCTTCTCTTCTCCAGGCTGAATAACGCCAACTCTCTCAGTCTTTTTTCATAGGAGAGGCGTTCCATCCCTCTGATCATTTTTATGGCCCCCCTCTGGATCTCCTCCAACAGGTCCATGTCCTTCCTGTGCTGAGGGCTCCAGAGCTGGATGCAGTACTGCAGGTGGGGGCTCCCCCGAGCA